TTGGTTTTCGATATGATTTTGATTTTGATTTTGATTTTGGTTTTGAGTTTGGTTTTGGTTTTGGCTTGGGCCTTCATTCTGTTCTGTTGTTGATATTTTTATCGTAGATCGTCTTCTAATTGGGTTATCATATTTTTCTCTCAATTCTAAACTTAGTTCAATATTTTCTTTCTCTAATCTTTCAATTTCATTAGTTTGTTCTTCTAACACATCGTTGGAGATCAGCACCATCTTATTTTCCTGTATATCGTAAAATCTCTCTACTATAAGCTCATTTATTTCTTTTCTATATGATTCCAATTCTATCGAGAATAATTCCTGCAATGCATTTCTTATCTTCTTGGGACTCACGGAATCCGGATCAGAAGCAGATATTATGGCATCGATCATAGGTAACAATCGTCTTAGATCAACTGTACTGACAACTACACCAGCACTTGTATCAACACCACCAACATTTTCTTTTAACAAACCTTGAACTCGATCTTCCATCAACCTCAAACCAGTAATCAATAACTGACAATAGCACTCAAGTCAGTAAATATTATAGTTGTATGTATTTTAAACGTAAAATAAATATATATATATATATATTTCTTAAGGACCCTATTGCAGATGCAGCTTACCAGAAACCTAGTATGATTTATTTCGGGTCTATAAGATCACACAAGTCTCTATTTAAATATCGATCTTAGTTCTATCTGGTACAGCTGTCAGGATCAATTAATATTCAGAATATAAAATAGAAATTAATGAAACTTGTAATATCCTAAAATTACAAACTTCCTATAATAAACAAAAAATTACATGTAGCTTATAAGAAGAAAAAAGAAAATCAAAAATTCAAGAAAGAATCAAATAAGAAGATAGCACTTTCTATTAAGAGTGATATAGATAGATCCATGTTGTTGCTGTTGTTTTTTCCTTTTAATTTGCTAACTTTCACTTTTCATTTTCCATTTCAACTTGATCTCATCTCATCTCAATCCATCCAGCACAGGTTTCTAGCTAAAAATGTAATATACCTCTTGGCTCACCACTTTGGATTTGTCTCCTGATTCGAAGAGGAAAAAATATTTATCAGATAACATTCGTTCTGTTCCGATTAGTCTATAAGAAGACAGGAATTGAACACAAACGGTCGGTTTCTCTTCCTATCTGGCAGGATTTCGGTTATCTATTGCAGCATCTCTGAGAAGGAGAGAAGTGAAAGATGCCAGTAGTTCACATGAAGATAAAAAAAACACATTAATAGAAGCAGCAAACTTCAAACAAACGATTGTAGCTAGGAGGTTTAAGCTGACAACTGGCATTTGATTTCACAGGCAATACGATAAAAGAGAAGCATTGTGCTGGAAGTATCATTTTTGGATAGAGAGATTGTTATTGTTATGTGTTTTTTTTTATTTATCGCCTGAGTGGTGTTGTAGAGGAAAACCGAGGTCGACAGATCTCTCTAATCTCTTACCAGATCTGGCAATACCAAATTCAACCTCAACAATGAGCAGTTATTGGATCAGTTTTATCTCTAAATTCTCGATATCATCTCCGTAGCGAAGCTGGGCCTTTATCCTGTCCTTTTTTTTTTCATCAATCAGTACCAAATAAATAATATCTCTTTGCGGAAATCTGTTTGGCTCTGCCTAAATTTAGATTAGTTCTGCCTAGGATGAACCAGATCCCTCTGCCTAGATGGAAGGGATCTGGCCGCCCCCACCCACAATATACTCAGAGAAGACACTCAGTTCACACGGCCAGTAGGCAGAAAATGTATATTAGCTGCTTATTTTTTTTCGCCCGTTGGATATTTTGCGTGGGCTCGGCTCGGCTCGGCTGGTTTGGGTTAGGTTTGGTTCCGAAGTAGTGAATGCTGTGTTGTGTTTAATCTGGCTAACAATGGTAGTGAATGTTTGGATATAAGATTGATCTTTAAAAACTGGCATCAGTAGCTGTCAGTTTTGACTCGGAGTTTAGCGGAATTCAATCTATTCAAGGCATGGGAAAGAATAAGTTTAATGAAAGAAGAAGCAGAGGAGGTAGAAGTGAATGTCCACTCTTCTCTACAAATTTGGATAAACCAGACTCAGATCTCCTCAACAATCATCGTACAAGAAAAACTTATTCGTATATAATGAGGTTTATCATGGCCTATGGCAATTATTGTATACTACTAAGTGAGTTCCTACACCGAGTCTAATAAAGTTAAATGTCAGCTATGCAATTATGGAAGTGTAGTCTTGTAAGTTTAAATGTGTGCATTAGTCGATCGGTCCAGTTTGATATTTCTTTCAAGACAACGTTCCTACAAACGTTCTGAATTCAGCTTTGGGTTTTCTTGGCAAGGTTGTTTATACCAACCAAATAAAGATAAACTAAGACAAAATCTAAACCAAGAAAAGAAATGAACTATTAGAAATTTGTGTCTTCACTCTCTTCCACCCAGACTATTTGTTTCTATTCTTGATTGGAGATCGATGGCACTTTTATTTAATTGTTTTTCTCTTCAATAGCTTGTCCTTTAATTGCTTGTCAGGACAATTACTCTTTTTTTCTGAAGTTTTTCTACCTAACTTATAATGTACCGATTATTTATTAATAGATTGTTTGATATAATTTTAGACATTACGTATAAAAAAAAAGTAAATACATCTATAAATGGATTTCAACAAAGGTAAAAAAAAAAATGCTTACTTTATTTTAAACTTTGTCACTTTGTATATTTTTTATTATTGTTTACTGTTGAAAAGTAGTCAAATAGAGGGGCAAGAACTGAGCTAAAGTTCAAATAATCTACGTACCACCTTACTAGATGTTGCAGAACCTCTGTACTGCCAATTCTCACGTATTGCTTTCTTACAGAGATATCTATTGTTAGAGTACTCTTGTAATATATCTAGATTTGGTAAATTGGCTACCGATCCTGTTGAATCTATTTGATCGATGCCAGCTTCTATTATATCTTTTCGAAGAGATTCTGGTCCACCACTTAATATTTCATAATATTTTAACATAACACCTGTATGGTTAACAAGTATTAAGTCAAATGTTTTGCTAATCAAATTAATAAATTTTGGTAATTCGACCACTATTTTTTGCTGAACATTCTCAAAATGTTTAGCGATAACTTCACGTTTCACATCGTGTATCTTATTTTTTCTCTCCTTCAAGTAAATTGCATAATCTTTTTTCAATATTTGAAGATCTTTCAATTGTCTTCTCACTAATTGACATTTGTCTATCATAGCTCTAATTGGTTCCATAACTTTATATTTCAAGTCTACTTCTTTCCAATTTCCAATTTCTTCTTTTTGTCTCATCAGCATTTGCAATTTCAGATAACATTTAGATTCATATATATCAATATTCTCCATCGATTTCCCGTCTTCAATATTCCTGCTATAAGATGGTTCTTGTTCAAAATAAATTACCCCTCCCCAACTATTTACAATATTCATATTATTTTCAATAATCCTAAAATAATTTGTTTCATTAATAGCTTTTTCTAAACGAATGATATCTTTATAGATTTTTTTGAACTTACCGATATGATCTGATAAGGATAAACCTGGTGGTACTGAATTAATGGGCATGCTCTGTCTGATTTGGGGCTTAAAATAGCTATGTTCTGAACTTGTTCTGAAACTAGGATTCTTGCTTTGTCTACTGTATACACTTGGATCACCAGAATATCTACTTGAACTACCTGAATTGGCTGGTGATATAGGCATGGGAACTTCTAAATAATTTACCGGCTCTGGATTTTCGTGGAGGGTCTCTGATTCTCTCTCAAAGTCTTGATCTTCGTTATCTCCATAGTTTTGGATTATTTCTATAGGTGTCAGGCTAAAATCATACATTTTATTTTCATCGTATATGTTAATTTCTTCTTCAACATAATTTAGAAACTCTTCAAATTGAATTTTGGACTTTTTCAGTATTAAAATCAGGTCTTCCTTGATAACATTAGGAGCTTCTTCAAGTAATGTGTTTAAAATCTTTACTAGACACCTTAACCTTTTTAAAGGCATTGTGAAGATATCTTCTAACTTTAAAAAATTTGATTCGATAAGGCAACATTCATACCAGTCTTGGAAAACTTTTCTGTTCCCTACCTTAATAAAATCAAATAATTCCATTTGCCTTCTATGGGAAACACAATAGCTTAGATATGTCGACTTTAATCTTAGATAATGCAAATTAAACAATTCACCAATGTTGAAATTAGAATATACTTTTTCTTGGATGACTGAATTCTTATTGATATCATCCCATACATTTGTTTCAGAAAATGCAGTATTAGAGGCGTATTGGGAAAACAGCCTTTCCAAGTTCTTTGTAAATAGACGGCTGATTGAGGATATTGTTTCAAGATTACCGAACAATAGCATCTCATCATTAGACCCTTCTTCTATGATTTGATTTCTGTATAGTCTATTTCCATTCATTTTTTGTCGATAAACAGTGTTTGCAATCTCTAAAGATTCTGCATATTCTAATTCTAAACTATAGAGTTCCTTTATTACCTCAAAAAATTTCTTCCCAACGTATGGTTTTGTTGGTGTTGTCGTTGATCGAATATTCAGTGAATGTTTAAAAGTATCAATGTTTAAAGGGGAATATTGTTTCTTAAGATTACTTGGGCTCATATCATCCAAATGTAGACTTGCAGGTCTTTTGAATTTATATTTATCGTTATTACGGTTAGCCATTGAAGGATGATTTCGTATTTGAAATCTATTCTGTTTTGGTAATTTATCATCATGTAAATGAAAATAATCATTTTTATAATCACGAATTGGCGTCATTGTGTGATCAGTTGGACACTCTAACTGGCTTAAAAAATGAGAAGTCTTGATCATATTCAGTAAAATATTTGTGTATCAATATGTCTATTTGCTTGTATAGTATTTTTTTTGTTCTTAATTGATTATAATTATCTCTTTTCTTTAATATTGATGATTTTATAGTAATTGAACGAGGTAAAGTACTGCCAAAATAATACAATTGAATAAAGTAACAATTGTTGAAATATTTCAATCATTTGAGGAACATTTGACATATATTTTGTCTTATTTTATATTCATTTTATTATTCTTTTGTCACAACTCTTTTTTTCACCTCTGTCACGACGCTGCTTTTTATCCGTTTCAGATTAGTTTCGCTAATTAGCGAAGGGAAAAGTCTGTGACAATAATAATACTGACATAACAAGTAAAGGTAAGGACATCTTGGCGTGTGATAATTTCAATATTTTTCAAGTTTAATACATATCATGGAAAAATTATATACAAATATTATGGAATAATAACTTTTTTGTCTTCTAATCCACCTCTTCCTATAAAATCTGTTACAACCTTAAAACTATCTTCTTGTCCTTGATTCAATGCCATCTTTACCAATTTAATGTTATTTTTAACCTCTTGTTGAGATTTTGCTAATCTTTCAGATGACTCTAGATCAACAATACATTTCGGACATTTGTAAACAATCGAGCCATCTGTTTTTTTATCTTCTTCATTTAAGCATCGCTGATGGTAATTGTGGGTACATTTAAACACAACGATTGGTAATTCAAGACCAGCCTCACACATGCAGCAATTAACATTTTTTATCTTAATATGTTGTGGGTCATTAGATTTTATTAGCGAATTCAATTTTTCCTTCTTTTCCTCCAATTCTTTTTCATAGGAAGCTATCAATTTGATATTTCTTGAAGTTTCATTCTCTTCCTCTGTTATATAATCTAGTAATAAATTTTGTACTAATCCATACGACGCTACATTTGTCTTTGAAAGAATTTGAATCAAATCTAATAAAGGAATTAACTCATTTTCAGTGACATGATCGAGTATTTCCTTTTTCAATACTTCTTCACCTCCGATATCTTCAAGTATCAAGCTCGATGAAACAAAATAACTCAATGCTTTTCTACATAGTTCTTCATTGTTTTTGCCATTATTTTTTACAAATTCCAGACAAGATATTGGAGATCCGCTTAGAATCAATGAGTTGAACTGCTCCATAACCTCTGTACCGGTAGAGTTATTTTTATCTAACTCGAATATGTCAATATTATTCATATGAGATATTAACATCATTAATGAATTATCTATTGGCTGACCGATATTGTGTGAACTCCTAGACTGAGATTCAGAAACATTCGTAAGTTTCATACTTTCATTTAATATATTTTTTGCCTTTTCCTTCCATAGTTCTCTACGTTCTTCAGCATCTTGTCTAGCCAGAGATAGGTATAAATCATAAAGTGTAGTTAATAGAATTTGTTTATCATCATCCAACCCACCATACCTCTGATATGTATCCAAACAGGCCTCTAAGAAAACAACAAATTCAAATGGTCTTGAAATAAATGAGTTAAAAATTAACGACGGTTTAGGTGGATGATAAGTCGACCTACCAACTTCCATTTTTTGCTTTGGTGTATTTTCATTTGTATTTGACCTGTAACCTAAGAAAGATGTATAACTGTAGAAGACTTTTGAAACCTCAGAGACATCTCTCTGTTGAGGCTCAGATGTAACTTTATCTTCGAATGTATTTGTTCTCTTAAATTTACCTGTAAAAACATCGATAAGTAATGCATTAGTGTCATTAGGGAGTAATCTCAAAAGATCTTTTGAAAATACTACTAGTACTCTTAGAGTATCGTCGATTGAAAGACTCTTGGTATACTCCAAAGTGGTAAATGGATCTTTTAAAGTATTTAATAATATGTCAGCAATTTTTACTGGATCCTTTGTAAACTTTTGTGCTAATTTATATGCTTGATTTGAAAATTTTGAATCCTCCAATAGAGAAATTATTAAATCTATGTCAAATAGGACCTTATCTGAATAGAAGTAAGTTTCGTCATCGATGTTTTGAACGTTTATATCTTTAGAATATATTCCTTCCCTACTAAAATTTTCTATGAAATCTTCAATTTCATCAATATTTTTTAATTTAATTAATACGATCAATAATAAAGTGATATAATCTGGTTTTGCTTTTCCAGCTTTAATTAGGGACCAAAGATATTCGCTGAGATTTGTTAATGATAAAGAATTTGACGACTCCTCTACACCATATTTTGAAATTATTGAGCTCATTTCAACAACATCTAAACATTGAATATACTGTTCAGTTGCCTCATTTAGTCTTTTTTTATTGAATAAAAAGTCGCCATACTGTCTATGGATATGTTGTAAACTTAAGGGTGATAAATGATTTTCTTTTGCCAATTGTAGTGCAAATTCAAACATTTCCTTCTGAACAAGAATTTCTACCTGTTCATTAATGCTCTTTTTTGTAATTTTATGAAGAATACCATCAGAGGTCAATAAAAAGATTGAACTAACCTTCGGCACTTTGAAAACTTCAATAATTGTGGATTGGATATATAACGTAAAGGATAATATTTTGTCAGTTAAATCTAAAATCATCACTTTCATTGTCGATGGTTTTATATATCCTGATATTTCTAAAGTTGTAGTCTTGGATGATTCTGCTTCAGTCACTATCATTAAATTATTCTCATTGATGGGAAACACGCGTTTAATTGATGGTTCGTTTATAACCAAAGAGTGTTTTTCTCCAGTTTCTTTGTAAAATTCGATCGAATCTTTGAAACAGCATATAAATTCATTTGAATACTTCGAATAATAGGAACAATATAAATCTACACCTTCCTTTGAGTTCAATAATAAATCAGGGTTTCCATTATTTCTCCCAGACGTATTGAAAAGCATAACTTTAGAAGTTGTAGATGCATAACAAAAAGTGGTGTCTGAATTTAAAAAAATCGAAGTTATTGGTTCTTTTAAACTATCTTCATAAATTACTCTTTGTCTAGAGCCTCTATCTCTTGCTATATCACCTCTAATCAATAAAATTCTACCATCTGTGAACCCAACGGCTATACAATTCAAATCTGAAGAAACGGATATAACAGAAATTGGGTGTGCATTATTCCCATTTTTCACTTCAATTAATGAATGATAAGAAGAGTATTTATGATTTAATATATTCTCTAGCTTATATATCTTTAATTGAGCTGGCAAACCACTGCATTCACCAACGACTAATAAAAATGAATCAATTACCTTTAGATATGTGATATGATGCTCAGAATCAAAAACTTTAAACTCATGGAGATTTTCAGAATGTCTAATACCAATCACCTTAACGATATTAGATTGTATCCCAATTACTAGCTTATCTCTATCAAGTGGTGCAACTGCAGATAATGTTTGGTCCGAATATAATGGGGTATCGGTACCAGTTAAAGGGTCCCTTATTGGAAGGTTTTCAAAGAATTGGAAAGATCTCCAAGAAGATAACGACATCAAACTTTATATAACAAACAACCAAATCCTTGAAGGTCTCTGTCTCTCTGCCCTTTAACAAAGTTTAGCACTACTTTTCAATCCATTCTTAAAACTATAGTGCACTTTTAATATCTTAAATTTTATTAAACGATTCTTCCGAATTTCTTTATTCCATCGTTAAGTATGTATAACGTAAATAGAGGGAAATGTTGCTGTGCAAGATCAAAAATAAGTGCTGATTCATATGTAATGCTATCAATATTAACAGTGATTTAAATTAATTGGTTTCGAATACTATCTAAATATAATGGTAATGATGATGTGGAATATATTTAATGCATTTATATATATTTATAAAAAAAATGGGACGAAATCTATAAAAATAAATAGTACGAGATAGTAAAGTTGCTGTCGCTAATGAAAATTGCATTAAACGGAATATTCTCTATTCTGAGTTTTTATAATGTTCTTGTACTTTTTACTACTTTTCTTTTTCTTGAAATAACCTTTAATGTGATTTGGGATGTAAAGTTGAGTGAAATAATTCACAATGGCTAAAAGGGCAATGAAGACTTTAAATGTTTCAGATATCTTACTTAGTTGAAGCAATCTTCCAAAAAATGAATCTGGATCGATCCCCATTAAAAAAATACTCATTATAATTGATATAGCAATGTCCATAATAAATCCGAAGTTTTTGGACATAGGTTCCCTATATGGTGGGCCAACTGATAGGACGACTGCAACTAGAATATACTGGAAGTTTGATAGAAAAAACAGCACTGTATTATCTGACGAAATCACAGTATGATCATCACCAACAACTGGTTTCAAATACCATGGCATTCTTTGAACAACAATCCATGGTATTATTTGAAATAATAAGCAAATCAAAATACTGACAACTAGAGGTACTAAAATTTTTGGAGAAACTAAATTTGCTGTAGGCCTTTTTGCTACTAGCTTATCATATGGTTTTGACCAAGACATTGTTATTGCAATTGGAACAATTAAAATCAAATCAATATATAAAAATTGAAAATCTCCCAGATTGGATCCTCTTGAGTAAAGAATGGTTATAGTGATAAACTGAATAGCTGAATACAGACTCATGTATTGAAAACAAGCAAATGAAGTGACTAAGGCACCTCTGCCTTCCTTTATCACATCTAACACACAACTAATATCAAATACTCTAGAAGTAAAAGGAGCAGCAACAGAAGCCTCTGCTTCAGACAATGAAATACCTATGTCAGCACTTTTTAAGGCACCACAATCATTTGCACCATCGCCACAGAATCCTACTACATAATCCAACGATTGCAGTTGCTCCATTAGTTCATGCTTTTCGTCAGGAGACATTCTTGCATATATTGATGTTTTTAACAAAACTTCGTTCCTATAAGTCTCACTGTAATCGGTATCATTCTTAAACAGTAACCTGAAAACCTCACCTGTCACACCAAGAGTGTAATCACCAACCTGTGAATCATTTGGCTTCAAGCTTATTTCATCAAGTGTATGCGTTGGATCATCGATGTCATTCCATGATATATAACCATGACCTTCATCAGTAATCTCACTTATGCTTGGGACATATACTCTAGAAGAATTCACCAATCCACTTTCCTTACCTATTGAAATTGCGGTTAGAACATTGTCACCTGTACACATAATTGTTCTAATATTAGATTCAGCAAGTGACTTAAGGGTCCCTTTTGTTGCACCTTTTAATTTATTCTCGAAAACAATGAATCCAAGAAAGTTCAAATTAGTCTCGACCTCTTCCCTAGATACTCTTTGTGAATAGAGCCAAGTACGTTTAGGTAAATTCTTACCTGCACATGCAATTACTCTATACCCATTATGTGTATAATGATGAAGGAGTTCATCGAAATCGCAAGGAATAGTTGATTTATTACATAAGGTAGTGATGACTTCTGGAGCACCCTTAGTAAAAGACCAATACATGTTTTCACCATTTGGTTTTACTATAACACTCATACGTCTTAACTCGGATAAAAACTCAAAACTTCTAACGATACCCAACAAATTATTCGGATCCTTTTCGTTAAATTTATTCTGCGGATCTGATGAATCGGGATACACAACGGCAGGTATAATTCCTGAGTTTTCAGGGAAGGTGTTCTCTTCATGTCTCTCTTCGTAAAGTGAATGAAATGCTTGATCTTTGAAATCTTCCTCAAATAACCATCCTGTAAATTTGAACATCTTGAAATCCAGTGGATCACCTAAAAGTTCACCGTCAACATGTCTTAACGAATGACAGGTTAATAGAGATATTAAAAAATCTCTTGCCTTAAAATCATCTAAAGAGCTGCAATCCTTAAGAGAAAAGTTTGTAAACACATTATGAATGTCATTAATCAACTCACCCATAACGATTCTATTTCTTTCTTCTGTCATTACAAGGTGGACACCAAGAACGTCCAGTTCATCTTCTGTTAACGTACCAGTTTTATCAAAGCACATAGCATCAACTTTACCAGCCACGTTTACTCTTGTAGGGGAAATGCAGAAGATTCCTTTCTCCTTTAGTCTACTCAACGAAAAACTAGTTCCAATTGTTAAGGTAGCTGGTAAAGCAGGTGGCACAACAATAGTAATAATATCCAAAGCTCTCAATATCATAGTTTTCTTGTCTAATCCAATTCGAACAAATTGGATGCAACTAATTGTAAAACCTATCATTGCAATTAATGTCATGAAACCTATGTACTTGAAGGAATCTTGATAAAATTTAAAGCCGGTTGGTTTTGGGAAAACCATTGAACGAACCAAAGAACCTTTTACAGTGGAAAACCCTGTCCTGACTACTACAGCTAAAGCAGCAGACTGTCCATGAGGAACCCGTGCTCTTATAACTTTGGTACCGTTGAATAAAAATGATTTTGAAACTAAACTTGATATTTGAGACTTTTCCATATCGTTAAATAACTGATGCATTGTTTCCTCTGTTGCTGGCATTTTAGATATGGGGACAGACTCACCTGTTAACATAGATTCATTTACGACACAGTCACCATTCAATAGTATTGAATCACAAGGACAAACAGTTAAAGCGGGATCAGAAATTTCATATACATCCCCTGGAACTAACTCCGAAGAATTGATATGGGTCCAAAACTCATCTCTAAACACACGTACTTCACAACTAAATGCAGACAATTCTGATAATCTTTTTGATGTTTTCTTTGTTTCTAACAAACTATCGATGATTGATATCAATGATATTAAAAATATACAGAAGGCATAGTAATAATATTCATCGACAGACCATAGAAGAATTGAAAAAATTTGGAACACATAAAATGGATGTAAAGTCTCGTTAAATAAAATTTGAAGGGTGGTTTTACCTTTCAAATTGATTTGATTTTTACCGAAAGCTAAGAATCTGTCCTCTTGAACACCTTTTGAGAGACCTCTCTGAATAGACTCTAGATCGAACCAATTTGGATCAGCCCAATTGTTGTTAGTCCTGAATATATCCTCCACTGGAGAATAAATAAAATTAATGTATCTGTATTCGAATGTAATCAAAATTGGAATGTTGGGATTTTTTTTACTTGCATGATTAAAACTAAAGCTATTGTTCATTGTTCCATCTGGATTTGTCCAAGTTGACTTTTCTATTGGCAAAATAGTACTAAACAATCTATTATACCAAGTACGTTTTACTGGTTCCACAAATAATTCTCCATTTTCAGTTTCAATCACTGTCCATTCTGCTTTTGCCAATTCGGTTTTAGAGCCAATGAATCTTACTTTGTAATGTGGAAACCATCTCATTACAAGGTAAAAAATACCGAGTGTTACAATACAGAAGAAATTATAGATGAATAATCTGAATTTTGAAGTTTTGTAACCAGCGATACCGATAACCAGATCTTCTTCAGCGATATAAAATCTTTGATATTTTGTAATTGGGATATAATTTGGGTAAAATTTCTCATGATACTGTGGATTTAAATAAATTGCATGAGATATCTGCTTCCTTTGTTGATTTCTGTCTTCTTCGCTAATGGAGCCCCTATCATTTTCATCATCTAGAAGTACATCTGACGTAGAAACGTTTAGAGAACTTCGAGAAGAAGCTGTATCTAACAGTTCATCTTCTTGCATTTCTAATTCATACGGAATTCTATCTCTAACAGCATATCTTGATAGCCCCGATGAGGAATGTGATAAAGAGTGATATACATGTGGGTGATCAGAGGGCGGAACCACTGTATCTTTTCTTATAGGTTTTAAAGAGGAGGATCTATGTTCATCAAATGAACCGTATTGAATTGGCTGTGATGCAGATGGACTTCTAGACGTCCCTATAAATGAGGACCTTCTTGAACCTATTCGAGAATTGCTTAAGACGTTATGCTCATATACTGGCATTGAGTCCCATTCTATATTGTACTCTGCATTTTCCATAGTTGAAGAACCTTCGGCATTACTGATTTGTTCTTCAGTAAAGAATCTAAAATGGGGATTTCTGGATGAACTTCTTGAAGGTTCTCCGGAAGAATCTACCAGAGAGTCTGTTTCAGTAGATGCTCTGCCTCTTCTTTCCAAATTTCTTGAAGTCAGTGAAGTCCCCAAGATATTTGAAGATTGGAATGAATGTGGACGATGAAACGATACTATTGAACTTGGAACGGTTTCTGAAGCAGCGCCATCAAACGCCTCATTATTATTTTGATTTAGTGCTATTGCAGAAGTCAATGTCGTGGCAGTGGAGCTAGTTCTTGCAGAAGAAAAAGAAGCTCTATGATTTGAAGGTTCATTACGACTATGTTCGTAATTGTCATATACTGGATCTACCATCTACACTTTCTGGCAGTATATTGCTTGTATCAAAGCCAAAAATAAAAAAAGTGATAATAAAAATTAAGGGAAGTTCGAACACCGCTACGTTTCTGTCTTTTTAGAAACAATAATATATATTAAAGTGTGTACCAAATGAACTGAATCCCACCCCAGAATAAAACGTCAAAATATTAAACCTTTGTATTAGCTAGCAAACTATTTCAATTTTAAAGAATAAGTAACAATATGCGTTAGATTTAATCTATTTTGTACTAGTAAAAATTGAATGATCTCAATTGTTCACTTTCAACGTTTTTCTTCAGTAGAACCGGGAGCCTAGCAACCTAATAACGTTAACCAACTTCTAGGAGTTTAAACGTTAAGGTAATCATCATCTTAAATGGTTTCAAAACTATCAAATATATACCATTTGATATTAACTGTACTACGTATTAGACTTCGAATCGATTTAATTAAATTGCGTTATTAGCCAAGTTTAATTTGTTCATCATGGTTACCCGGGAAACATCTCAAGGTTATGATTTAAATATCCAGGTATGACGTATTTTTGATTATATACAGCTCTAATTAATGAAGTGACAAAAACAAGCCAAAACCATATTAATACGACAAATAATACTACAACTGTAACTAAAGAGTTCATTGGAAGTATGTTCAATCCCACATACATATGGTATAACACCAATAGTTATCACTGTCGTCTTAAGATGCCAACTTTTACATTAAAAATCATGTGATACGTTTGCTCGTATTATGACGTCTGGCATCCAATTTCGAACTTCGAAATGTGTAATTGATTCGAAACGATATCTAAGAAGAGGTATCGATATCCAGATCAGTGATAAAAGTCCATATATTTTATTGAATCTAGGTTTGGGACTTGATGGTTATGATATGGCTACAATTATAAAGTATATACATTTAATTATATTTGGTATTTTCAGTTGGGAAGTGTGTGTTCTCTTTTATATTTTGTTTTTTGAAGTCCTGTACGTTGTGACTTTTCTCTTCTCCTGGGTTTTCTAAATTTACTGGAAATAAAAGCTATTGGGCTGGTACTGAATTGCTAAAAGTTTTCTAATTGGATTTCAAGTTAAGGATAATTATATTATATAATTAAATATAGTCCAATTTATACTTCGTGTGTTTGTCTTTTCTTTGCATGATTAACTGTCTTTTACTTTAGGTTTGGATTTGAAAGAAAGAGCAAATTAAGTAAAGATGGCTGATAATTACGAAGCTAGAACTAGCTCGCATTATGATAATAATGCTACTGAATTTGATGATTATTTTAATGAATTCGATACTGGAATTGGGTTGGGTCCAGATGATGAAGATGATTTTTTAGATATTTATAATTTGTCTCCTAGACAAAGAGTTGTATACCAATTTAGGAGAACTGTCAACCAATTTTTATCACAATACTATGCTTTGGAACCTTGGCAAAGAATATTGCTTGCAATTGGTGGTGGTCTGATCGGTATATTAGCCCTACTGATGCTGATTTTCCATAATAAGATTTTACATAAATTAGTGGAAATGTCAAATGATTTAAAGGAAAAATGGAGTACTCCTATAGTATTGGTAACTTTAATCTTCTTTGTTGCATTTCCACCAATGATTGGATTCTCTTTGTTGTCTACTACAACAGGTCTAATATATGGTATCAGCTTTAAAGGATGGGTGATATTGGCAATTGGTGCAGTAACAGGTTCAATTTGTTCTTTTGCACTATTCAAGACAATTCTACACTCAAGGGCTGAAAAATTAATTCAAATGAATAGACGATTTGCTGCATTTGCATCTATTTTGCAAGAAAATAACAGTTATTGGATATTGGCGTTGTTAAGATTATGTCCGTTCCCTTATTCCTTGACAAATGGTGCTGTAGGTGCTGTTTACGGTGTATCAATTAAAAATTTTGCAATTGGTAACATTATTACAACTCCAAAATTACTTATTTATCTATTTATTGGTTCTAGAATTAAAAACATGGGTGAAACTGAATCTTCGGCTTCGAAAATTTTTGATTTGGTAAGTATTCTATTAACTGTTTTAGCCTTAGGTCTCACCGCCTGGGTTCTATATTTTAAAACTCAAAAAAGATATCAACAGTTACAGGACCAAAGTACCATAAATACATCTAATGACTTAGATATAGACCAAAATTTTGAAATTTAATAATGCATTTTGTTTCTTTGATTCGAATATTGTGCTTTCGCCGTTTATACATTTATTTTTTACTAAAAACGTTTTTGATCACTTTGTTTTTTTTAATATGTTTCTTCTTGTCTTCATGTTTCTTCATCTTACTTTTAATATCAATTGATATTTTTGCATTCACTTCAATGTTTGCATTAACTTTATCTTCAGCATTTTCATTGATATCTTCATTTATAGATTTCTTCCCTTTTTCTATCTGCTCTTGAAGTAATTGTTGTCTTATACTTTGATCGCTTAACTTGGTTTGTTGTAACTGTTTTATTCTTTCATTTCGAAGCATTGTCTCATGACTATTATCTATATAACTTATTAATAACTGTGCTGTATCAACGTCATCACTTACATCTTCCAATCCATGGACCTTAATTTTACCTGATTTGCTTAAATACTGTATGAATTTTGTCAGGGAAGTAAATCTAGTAGCATTCATATGTATATGTTCTTTATCTTGAATGAACTCGTTATAGAATTTGTTTGCGCCAATTTTCTTTTCACCATGGCTTAGTCGAAGTAATCTAAGGAAATTGGTTTCAAATTGCTTAGAATATTTATCTATATCTTCCGAAGTAACTGTGGAAATCTTGTGCAAATGTGATGGTGATCGTATATGTGATTTGAAACCATTATCGTCCCGGCATTGTTTCTGACATACCTGACAGTAAAACTTTAATTTTTGAAGACCTCTTGCTTTCAGCTGCTTACTGACAAAAGCTGCGGTTCCAAATTCTGCTTTCCCCATCCCTAAAGGACTAAAAGTACTATAAATGTCATTGACAGATCAATGGAATAATAGATAGAGAACAATTTAAACTTTTATAACAAAAATAGAATCTTGAAGAAATAATATTAGTATACTTGTAGGGCTCATCTCATCGGGTTTTTTGGTATATATTCGTTGTATGTATAATTTTGATGATATCGAAATTACTCTCTCATCCGAGATCAATTTGAAATACTTAAATATACAACTGCTTTAAGAATAGTATGTTTTGGATATCTAGATCAGTTTGGGGGAACAAATATTATCAATGGCTAAATAATCATTATAAATATAAGACTTGGATGGTATAACATATAAGTTTGTTATATTTACCGTAATCTCTTATTTAAATTAAATTTGAATCGCTTCAATAGTATAAAAGTCACGTGCACCAAGCGCTAGGAAAGTTGAAATGACAGTAAATGAGTAACATCGGAATCTAACATGTGTACCATTCTAGATTTATAAATTTGTATCTAAAAATTATATTTTAGATTTTAAAAAATAATTAAAGGGGTTTTGAAAACTGTGTTATTGCCAATAATAACTTATAGCTACCTTAAAGACCTTAATTTTGGTGGAACTGCCATATATATATATATATATATTGGATATAAAAAAATAATATCTGTAGTATCGTGTGGTATAATTCCAACAGCATATCTTTAAAAGAATAAAATACTTTTAAAATTACAATATATAGTTCTGTTATCATTATGCGGTAACTGGATTTTTCGTAATATTTTATGTTTTCTTCCTGTGGAAATGTTAAAAATATCTTTACAGTGAAAATTTGATATGGCTAAAGAAATATTAATATTATACAACTCTATATTAAATTCCATATATTGGTTTATGTCAAGGTATAGATATATGTTCGCCAATATCCGTTTCTTTTCCTTTACCTACTACATAGTTTATCTCACAATTGGTCTGACACCATTCAATATTTATTTTGATAACCACTGATACTAATAATTTAATTGAATTATAAATATATATGATATATTGGTTCAAGTTAAGATAACTAAAGAGACTTTTTAAAATACAGTATCTACCTGGATAATGTATTCAATGTTTAACTTTAGTTGATGTATTCCAACATTTTAATCACGTGATTGTTCATAGAGGGGCCTTTTTTACGAAAGTTAGGTAATGAACTCATTTATTAGTTATGGTAGGTACGTACTTTAAGTTAAGTTACAACTCAAAGACTAAAATGATTGATATAAGATCAGAATAATCATCGGAGCTAAAACCGAGTCTTTAAGGTCAATATTTAGATCCTATTCTAATATTTCCGTTTTGTTTCAAGAAAGTTCGTTGCTTGGAACTGATATTAACTTGCTAGAGGTTCCGATTAAACAAGACTCAGCTATAATAGTTTCAACAGATGTACAATACTGAGACTAGTCCCAAGGCAACTGCATTACGTTCAAGATCTAATACTATATATACCGATATTAGTAATACAAATTCAACCGTAAGCAGTGGAAGCAATGGAACCAAAAAGAATAGAAAGAATTTAGTATTATCAACCTCATTCTTATCTACCAAGAGACCTGACAATGGCCCTATATCTCCAAACAGTCCTTTACAGGGGAAATGGAAGAAGAATTCACTAAATAAGAACCTTGTGAAGATAAAGAATGATATTAATCAATTGAATCAAACTTTATACCAAACGAAAAAGAAAAAGAAAGATGCAGAGACATTATTGAAATCCACATCATTGAATATTTATACAGGTACTTATTCTACAAGCCATTTAGAGAAGCATTCAATGAGGATAAAGGCTAATACACAAATTAGAGAATTAGATAATTCAATCAAGAAATTAGAGAAACAAATATCCGAATCCAAACTTCAGTACGAGGTCACTGTAAAATCGATAGAACCTCACAATGCTTTAGATGGGAACTTTCTGAACTCTGCAAATACATCAAGAGAAGATTTAATATCGCATAGTTATGAAGATGAAGGTTATGATACAGAATTTGAAAGGCCGGATACTTCAGATATAAGTTTACGTGAAAGCTTGCAAAGGAAAGATGCTATATCGTATGATTCATTAATACCTGATGAAGATTTAAATATCGGAGATGATGAATTTACATATTCTAGGAAATACTCCACTGATGAATACATTGCAGCAAATAGAGAAACTGCCATATGGTTAATAAGTGACTACATGCAAAGTTTACAAACATCAAATACTTCAGTGGACTTTATCATTAGGAAGGCTAATGATTTTGTAACAATTTTAAGGGACCATCCAGAAATTAGAGAAGACTTACTGCTGACACCTTTTCTTCCAACTTTGCAGCAATTGCTACTAAATGACGATAAATTTGTCGTTTCAGCTGCATTTCGTATATGTAGGTATTTGGTAGATGGTCCACAATTTATAGAAACTCTAAAAAAGTTGGAGATTGATGCATTCATTGTAATATCTTTGGGAAAGGAAAATATATTTCAAATCGAAAGGGAACAAGCATTGAAGCTTGCAAGAACGTTTGGTGAGCATAAAAAACTTTCAAAAAGCATGCTACAAGCACTCATTAGTTGCATCGAAAAGCCCGAAGATTCTTTAAAGAATATGGCATTGGAGACTTTATTAGAATTATGTTTCATTGATCCAGAATTAGTAACAGAATGTAATGGTATTCGAGTATTAGAGAATCTATTACAAGATTATTCTTCATTTTCCTTAGCCAAGATTATCTTAGATACAATTTTACAATTGATATCAACTCAAGAAACAAGGAAATATTTTTTAAAAGATTTCTCTATATCAGTGTTGGCTACAACATTTTCTGATACCAACACAAAGTCAGCATCAAATGTGGAAAGGTTACAAAACTCTGCAATATTAATTTCTAAGGCATTAAAAAATGCAGATGGATGCAGGTTATTCTCAATTAATAATTTCAAACCATTAAAAGATTTATTATCATTTTTTGAAATACCCCTATGTGCATCATATTTGGTAGATATCTTCCTTGATGTTCTCCGAATTAAGCCATTACAATACAAATTCAAATCGAAATCTACGCAGATAATTGGATACCCTGCGTCATCATATCAAAAAGATTGCATTCCAATAAACCAAAATGTGGCGCTATTAATATTGATTTTGAATAAAAGCAATTTTGTCAATCAATTACTAAAGGTTATCAATAACAATAAGATCGATGAATACAAAGATACTTTGGTTAATAAAGCAAGATATTTATTGATTGAATATTTAAATTTGGCAGCTAACTTAGTTGATGCAGAATTGACACTTTTCAATGACGTTATACCGAAGGGTGATGTATCAATATTTAGGGAAACATACCAGTTTGGTAAGATAACCTATATTTTAAATAAGAATAGGAATACTTTAGGCTTAGAAAAGATAAATTATACTGATAATATTCAAAAAATTTCACAGGATATCAAGGCAAATACATTAATACGACAAGTCGATGACTTAAAGTTTAGAAGAATGGTATTTGATTCAAAAGTTTTACAGGTGAAGGATTTTTCATTATGGAACTGGAATGTTATCCAAGAGCTTTTAGAAGGTCCATTGACCAACGCAAGGCAATTAGAAGAATTGGGTAAAACAAAGTTTATAAGGAAATTGTTAGTCTTTTATAGACCATTAAGACAAAGGTTTTCGAATGTCGACAAGAAATCAAGATTAGCCCAAAAATATATTCAAGTTGGATGTAAGTTTTTCAAAATGCTGACATTAACATCAGAAGGTATGAAAATACTTATGGATGATAATAAAATCATACCCCAATTAGCTTCCTTACTATTCCGTGCAATGGAAGGTAAAACCGATGGAAATATATTTAACGAGATCTCATTGAAGACAAAAACAGTCGTCGGCTATTTCAAATTTATTGGTGTATTAACAAAATCATTAAATGGTACCAAAGTATTAGATAAATGGAATTTTTTTACAGTTATCTATAAAATGTTTCAAATTGAGAACAAATTGTCTTTCACATATTTAATGTATACCTTACCAGAGATAGATTTAAGATTTTCACCACATTGTCGTACAATTATGGGTAAGGCTTTGGTTATAGGAGATGAACAAATAAGATTAAATTCAACACAGTATATGAGTAACAATTTAAAAGAAATTACCGAGATGATTAATAACCAAGGACAGAATAACAATACCAAAGAGGCTTTGACACCTAAATTGTTGTTAGAATATAACTCTTTACAACAATATATGCTAGAGATGTTGACAAGACAATTATTCGATTTATCACCAAAAGTTGTCGCAGTTGCTGATCAATCATTATATGAACATGTAGTTAGAGATGAGAATACTTCCACGGAAGTTGGTACCTGGCTAAGAACTTCATTAAACCAAATGGTATTTATCAGTTCACCTATTTTATTTGAACTAATGAGTTCAAAATATGGGTTCCAAATCCTAAATGAGATCCAATATATTGAACATGAGAGGGAGTCATGGCTTTTGAATAAGAACCTTGAATATGTTAGTATAGTTGAAGAATTCATTGACAATTTCCAAACGTTTGGCAACAATAATGTTTATAATTTTGAGGTTAGTAATCGATTACCATTACATTTCTACGAAAGTTTAGCGAAGACAGACGACGGTATAAACCTTTTAACAACAAGTGGCGATCTAGTAAAGTTTATGAATGTTATCAAGAAGTATAGGACTGAATTAAAGAATGGCGATAAAGTCAATGAGTCTCTAGAAGATATTATAGAATTAAAGTGTTGCATATGGTGTTGTGGGTACATAGGATCTACGCCATTGGGTATTGGCTTAATTGATAATTATTCAATCGTTGAAGATTTTATTACGTTAACTTATGAGGCGACGGTAACATCAGTTCGTTCAACTGCATTTTACGCATTGGGGTTAATCGCTAAAACTAAAGAAGGGTGTGAAATTCTAGATGAGATGGGATGGATTTGTAGTTATAATGTCTTTGGAGAACCAGTTGGCATAGCTACTCCGAAACGCATTGATTCTTATTTATCATACAAAGAAAGCCAATGGAAGATACATGATACGTTTGAAGAGAGCATGATATCCTTTGATATCAGTAGTGGTAATCTCGTCGAAGAAGAAAAGATAGTACCCATCAAGATAAATTTAGACGACATGTTAACTGAAAAATATAAGAACGAGAATCCATTAATTGAGAACAAGGCTATCAAGAGTGGCAAACGTATAAGTAGTAGCAAAAAACTGGCTGAGATAGAATCAGACACAGGAGGATATGATAAAATAATTGATAAAGTGGTGGAAAGCGTCTGTGAATTGAGCAATCATATATTGATGAATAAAGCGATCAAAGAAATTGGTGAATTGAAAGAAGAATATGAAATAGTATTTGAAAATTATAAGATGTTTTATAAGATATTTGAATTAATGACAAAGTTTCGATTTAAACCTAATATTCGCAAATTTTTATTCAATTTATTTATCAATAAAAAGTCCTTGAAGAATGCAATTGCACAGTCATCTCAATAAAATTGCGATCCATGCCAAAGAGAGAAGTATTTAAAAAACACAAATCATTATACTTTATTATTGGTCATTATATAATATCGAAGTATTTTTATAATCTATATATGAATCATTTAATTCTTTTGGTAACTTAAATTCTGTTGAATTACAAATTATTTCAAGTTGTTTATTATACCATTTTAAATCAGGACATTTACGTTGTGCTCTTTCTGAAATTTTTATTTTTGTAAAATAATCTTTCTCTAGTGTTTTAATATCATTAATGAACTTGTGATTATCTGTTATCGTGCTAGTATTTATTTTATTATCGAATAGATAGTTTTTATTCAGGATATGAGCAATCGATACAACTTTTCGTAATAGAGTGGTATATTCTTTTTGTAGAGTAGCTTTTTGTTTTATCAATTCATCGTGTCTTGCAGTAATTTTCCTGTATGATTTTTCATCCATGTTGAGTTTATTGTTATATATATGCGTGTAAGGGTGAGGTGGGATGGGATTTATAATATAGTGGATATTAATATGATGATATGGAATTGGAATACCAATTTATCAATAGATCATTGCTATAGCAGAATACCTTTAGTTGACAACATTGCTGTCTACAAATACTGGATATTTAAATTTTAATTTTTCATTTTCAATTTGACCTTTGAATTGTGCATGGATAGGATGGGAGAGGAACAGTTCAAGACTAAGCAAAAAATCAAAAATACAGAATATACCGAATGTGTTATATATTAAGCACGTGATATAGTACAGTCACATGCTTATCACCGGGTAACACAATCAAAAAGACAATAAAAGGTATCTGGAAAGAGAAATCTGGTGATTGTGAGGGTAAGTCGTTTAGGTGTCGGTATCGCGGGAAGGTTGTTCTTGGAAGTCGTTTTGAGATGTAGTTGTGTGACGATTTCAATAATCACTTTCTCTAAACGCTGGCGTCAAAATAATAATAATTGTTTATTTGGATTGGGCTGTTAACGAATAGAGCAAATTAAAATAAACTAAGTTAAATTAGATGAAAGTTAGGAATGTCAGGTGATTACATGGCCGGAAACTGAATTTTTCCTAATCGGGACAGTAGAAGATTTCAAAACAATACCGGGTAACATTTTGATTAGATAACTACTAAGGGAATAAGATTAGGCTTTTATAGGGCTTAGTATTAATGTTCTGGACGACAGCATATATTTAGATTTAGATTTAAATATATACAGCCTTGGTTAGTTTAACTATTTACTTAAGCTTTTTAAAGTCATTAAAACTTCATCCAACGGTGTGGTTTCAAAGTCTTCTTGTATATCCAAATTTAGCTTTGAATTTCCTATCATGTTTAAATTTGCCAAGGAGAACATTGTGTCATCTTTTAGTTTATGTCTTTTGTCGCTATATGCCATCTTGAATTTGGAAAAAGATTTTTCGGTATTAACTGACGTCACAGAAAAGGACATTAGATAATCCATTGCCACAGGTATATATATGTGATTCCTTAGTTTATTTCCGACACTGCTTGTTTCAATTCGATAGGCCTCTTGCAATCCTAAGTAAGTAATTAACTCAATTATGTAAATTTCACATTTAGATAACTTTCTAGACTTCATGGCTCCTTTATTTCCAATGATCTTTTTGTAATGATAACAACCTTCAATCTTTTCAACTTCAACTTTCCTCCTTCTACACACTTTTTCTAAAACTTCAAAATACTTATTGCCAACGAATTTTGAATATTCAACCAATTCATCATATATTTTTCGTTGTATGTATTCTCGACACCACTTAGATATCTTCTCCTCTGAATCTAAATATGCTTCATTATTCCACAAAAACTCATATTTAGACATTTTGCCTGGAGGCACAGATTTCTCAAAATCAACTTTGCCTAATTGAATTGCAATTTCAGCGAATTCATTAATTGGGTTTAACTCTTCATTGAAATGGCTGCCATAATAATCGAAGACGTCATCTTCAAATGGACAAAATGCTGAACTAGCATATATTAGAGGAAAGTTATCTTTTGCTTGTTTTAGATATTTGTCTACCAAATAGATCGCTGGTGAGAAATCAGAAATTGTGTCCCCCATTTCCCTTAGTTTATCATTGCATTCTTTCATAGTTTTCCTTAGAAAAGTTAGTATCCGAATATAAACAGGTGACATATTTTTGTTCGATGACGTAAACTTGGTTAAACAATTAAAAGACGATAGTATATCGAGTAACAATTCTGCCATTTCAAAATCTTCCCTGTTCAACTCATTTTGAATTGGCTTTCCTTGACCTCTGCAAAATTCAAAAAATGTAGAGATATCTTCATAATGATTAACGAATGTTTTCAGCATTTCGTAATTTATATTCCATCTTATAGGAATAAAAGATGGGATTTGGGTTTTTACATATTTTTCATATATTGCCACTTTTTCCTCAGATTTCCTTAATTCATCATATAAATTATTTAGCCTCTCAATAACAAGTGGCGGCTTACTTTCAAACTTGCTAGATGCTAACTCAGGTATGTCTGTTTTGGAACAATTTTTCAAATCACTACCGCCAGAATCGTCAACTCTGAAGTCATTATCCCCACTAGGATCATCTTCTTCACTGAAATTATCTTCTTCACTGGAACTGAATTCTATAATAGAATCATATCCTTCACTAAAATTATCATCTAAGGTAGAATCATATTCTTTATTAACTTCTTTCTCTGATGATATACACTTTATGAATTGCTCGGAAACAAGATTTATTATATGGGATAAGCACACAATATGTCCCGCATAATTTGGATACTCAGGGCTCCTAATTAGAGCAGTGGTGCAATGCAATATCGAAGAATCATTATCTGTGCAAGTATTACTCCATAATGTATTCGTGTCATATTCTTTACATGTAGAAAGTAATATGTCTTTGTCATTTTCTTTTGTCTTTGATTCAATCTTATCATACTTTGCCAAAAAACTCCCTTTCTTGTAATGTCCAGTAGTAAAATTGAAAATTACGACATTATATGGGAGTTTTGTATTGGACTTCCAAACATCTGTCTCCATGCTAACATATGGAGGTTTCGAGTTTTTCAAATCTGAAATTCTTTTTACGATGATTTCTTCTAAACTTTCACCAAGTAGAGGATAATTGACTATTGTGGTAGATTTAAAGTTCTGATCCTCACTCAGTTGCGATTGAAAATAATCTACAACTCTTTTTGAAATCGTCTTGACAAAATCCGAAGCCTTTCTTCTGTGATCTTTAAGTGACAAGCGTTGTTTATCTTTCCTAGATATCTTACTAAAAACCTTACTATCCCAGATTGAGAAGGCAACTCCCAGGTGGGCATAAGCCATAGCAAAATCTTCAACTGGTATTCTTTCTTTCTGAGTAGTTTCTTTAACATTTTTAATCATATTTACAATGTTGGGAGTGATCCGGCCTTTAGAGAAAAGCCTTTTAACTGGAGGGTGATCTGGATTTAAACAATCCATAATATCTTCTAAAACGAATACTGTAGGATGTTCATCCTTAACATGATCTTCGCAACGTTCAGCCCCTCTTCTACTTAAAAGATCTTTTGAGGGGAATACGATTTCTTTATTACATACTTCTGTACCGCTACAAACTTGACAATAGCGGATAAGGTTGTTGTCAGGTTTACTTGCAAATACTCTCGTAAACTTATTAGCATTTTTCCTGGAAGACGTTATCATTCTCAAGGATTGGACATCAATATCTTTATTATATCTCAAAGTTAATTTTGAATTATTGGTTAACTTATTAGCCTTTGCAGAATTATCAATTTTAGTATCAACCAGTTTGTCAATTCTATCCCCAATTAAATTATCAGTGATAAATCTTTTAAAGACTAAATTCTGCGGTTGAGAAGAGGTTGTTTTCTGTCTTTTATTTAATCTCGATTCACCATCATTCTCTGTTTTAATTGGTATTTCCTTTATATCTTCTATTTTAATATTCATGTTGATTATATTTCCAATTGTGTTTCTCCGTTTGGCACAACAGTTCAGATATTACAATTGATGTCTATCTTGCTCTATCACAGTTTATCTATATATATGTGTGTGTGTGTGAATGTCTTCCAACGCTCATCTATTAAGATCCATCTTGAACAGTTTGGAGGTCATCGCGACTTATTTTGATCTTGGTGTACCAAACGCGTTAGAACGGGAAATGCATGTATCTACATACTGCCACATCGAAAGTTGTTACCATCAGGGCATCTGCTATCACATGATAATCACATGAATAGCATGTGACCTTGGAATTTGCTTCAAAACAAAGTTCCCCAGGGCCGGGTAGGTGTTTTTTCTCTCTCGCAGGGGAATTTCCAATAAAGGAATCCCCCCATGCCTGCCATGGCCCAGGTGAAAGACCTCGATTGAGAGACAGACAGACAGGACGGTTGTATCATCTTTGATCCAATTGCAGATACAAACGAACGTCAAGTTTCCAAGGGTGGAACCATATCATTGTGTATTATGATAGAGCGTTTGTGGTGTGGGTGTAGAGGTGTGGTTTTGTCATAGATGAGAAGAAGTCAACTTACACTAAGAGACAGCGACAGTCAGAGTCAGCTTCCAGTCATTACATCTAAAGAGTGTGAAACGAGCATAAACTATTTCGTGAGTGTGTGGTGTACGTTCTGTCTCTGCTACTTTTGCTGGCTGATGGTGCATGCAAGACATTGTGAAAGCATATTGCACGTGCTCTGTTGAAGCCATCGTTCAGCCTTTAACGTACAGGAGGACACAGATGGGACCCATAACCCACAGTTCGTATGCCAGGACAACAGCATACTTCTCACCGTCACAGATGTGGCGTCCTCGCGTGTGTCGTCCTTCTCCCCCAAACATCATCACATGGCCACAGAGAGAGAGAGAGAGAGATGGAGATAGACACAAGGGGGCATGGTCATGACTACTTTTCTCATTTTCTACCTCGCACCGAGACCAGAGCCGGAGACGGAGACAGTAGCAGTAAAAGTAAAAGTGTGTCTTCTGTTCTCTTCTCTCCGACTGTTGCTTTGGGATCTTGGGTCCTCATTAGACCACACCACAACACAGTCTTACTCTCACTCTTACTCTTATTCCCAGCACAGGCTCACTCTACCTTCTGGCTCCTCCTCCCCCCCTTTTTTTGGCTGCAATATGACTAACCGCCCACTAACCGACAACAACACCAACAGTTCTCCCCAACCATCCCGTATATAAAGAGCAGTCTTTTTCTGAAAGATATCTTCATACTCTCCAATTCCCAGCTCTTATTTATATTTATACTTTTCTTCTTTTATTTTGTTTTATTTTTATTCTCTTCTGTTCTACTCCTATCCCTATATTTCTTTTATTTCTACCTACAGAGATACAGATTAACACAATCAAACCACACACTAGTATATTCATACATATACCAGTGCTCCCCGTCATCAACATCAACAACATCAATTAGATATGGTAAAGTCCGCTGTTTTGGGGTTCCCAAGAATTGGTCCAAATAGAGAATTGAAAAAAGCTACCGAGGGTTACTGGAAAGGTAACGTCACCAAAGATGAACTGTTAGCTGTCGGCAAACAATTAAGAGAACAGAATTGGAAATTACAACAATCTATAGGTGTCGACTATATCCCAAGTAATGATTTCTCCTTTTACGATCAAGTCTTGGATTTGGAACTATTGTTTAACGTCATCCCAGATCGTTACTCAAAATACGATTTAGACCCATTGGACACTTTGTTCGCTATGGGTAGAGGTCTACAAAGAAAAGATGTAGACGTCACCGCTTTGGAAATGGTTAAATGGTTCGATTCAAATTACCATTACGTTAGACCTACTTTTTCTCATGGTATGGATTACAAACTTAATGGTAGTAAACCAATCGATGAATTCTTAGAAGCAAAAAAATTAGGTATACAAACTAGACCTGTACTATTGGGCCCTGTCTCCTTCTTAACCTTGGGTAAAGCTGATAAAGATTCTTTGGATCTAGACCCAATCTCTTTGTTGGATAAATTCTTACCTTTATACGAGGAAGTTATCACAAAATTAATCGATGCTGGTGCAACTGACATCCAATTGGATGAACCTGTGCTAGTCTTGGATTTAGACCAACAAGCAAAGGACGCCATCGTAAAGGCTTACAATTATTTGGGTAAGGCTCTGTCTCCAAAGATTAACATCTTTTTGACCACTTATTTCGGTACTGTTGTACCAAACTTGGATGTTTTGCAAAACTTGCCTGTTAAGGGTTACCATTTCGACTTCGTCAGATCCCCAGAACAATTGGATTCTATCTTGAAATCTATCGATTTCAACGAAAAAATCTTGTCGGTAGGTATCGTCGATGGTAGAAACATTTGGAAGAATGACTTGGCTAAATCCACCGCTTTTGTTCAATCAATTATCGACAAATACAACTTGTCCTCAAAGAACATCGTCGTCGCTACCTCATCCTCTTTGTTACACACCCCTGTCGATTTGGACAATGAACATAAGTTGGACCGCAACATCGTAGACTGGTTCTCCTTTGCCACTCAAAAAGTTTTGGAAGTTGTCGCCATTGCTCTTAAATTGAATGGTGACACTTCTGTCGATGATATATTCAAGAAGAATTTGAAGTCTATCACTGCAAGAAAGAACTCTGTATTGACTAATGATGAAGCTGTTCAAAAAAGGGTGGCTGCTATCGATGATAAATTGGCTACTCGTAAGTCTCCTTTTGTCGAGAGAGTTACTGTCCAAAAGGAAATTTTCAACTTACCATTATTCCCAACCACAACTATCGGTTCTTTCCCACAAACAAAGGACATCAGAATTAACAGAAACAAATTTGTTAAAGGTACTATCACCCCAGAAGAATACGAAACCTTCATTAAATCTGAAATCGAAAAAGTTATCAGGTTCCAAGAAGAAATTGGTTTAGATGTTTTGGTTCATGGTGAACCAGAAAGAAATGATATGGTTCAATATTTTGGTGAACAATTGCAAGGTTACGCCTTCACCGAAAACGGTTGGGTTCAATCCTATGGTTCTAGATATGTCAGACCACCAATTATTGTTGGTGACTTATCCAGACCAAAGCCAATGTCTGTCAAGGAGTCTGTCTACGCTCAATCCATTACCACCAAACCAGTCAAAGGTATGTTGACAGGTCCAATCACCTGCTTAAGATGGTCTTTCCCAAGAGATGACATTGACCAAAAGACACAAGCTTTGCAATTGAGTTTGGCTTTGAGAGATGAAGTTCAAGATTTGGAAGCTGCTGGTATTAAGATCATTCAAGTCGATGAACCTGCTTTGAGAGAAGGTTTACCATTAAGAGCCGGTAAGGAGAGATCGGATTACATGGACTGGGCCGCTGAAGCGTTTAGAGTCGCAACTGCCGGTGTTCAAGACAAAACTCAAATCCATTCTCACTTCTGTTACTCTGATTTGGATCCAAACCATATCAAGGCTTTAGATGCTGATGTTGTTTCCATTGAATTCTCCAAGAAGGATGATCCAAACTATGTTGCTGAGTTCAAGAACTATCCAAACCACATCGGTCTAGGTTTGTTCGATATACATTCTCCAAGAGTTGCTTCCAAGGATGAATTTATCACTAAGGTTGACACCATCTTGGAAACTTATCCAGCTGCCAAATTCTGGGTCAACCCAGATTGTGGTTTGAAAACAAGAGATTGGTATGAAACCAAATTGTCCCTAACCAATATGGTTGATGCGGCAAAGCATTTCCGTGAGGAATACAAAAACAAAGCTTGAGTCTAGGATTTTATACGATTGAATTGAGATTCAACCTTTTATTTTTCTTATCTATAAATATGACGATTCAACATCATAACTTTTTTTTACCTATCCACTTCATCATGATCATGAACTAATGATACTATCTAAAAACAAGAAAATCTGACTTTATTCCAATTTATGATAATAAGATTACCGGACTTGCCCATAAAAAAATGGGAAAAAAAATAAAGTTAGTCAAAAATTAAATGGAATAAAGAGACATTCTTTATTTGCATCTTTTCTCAACTAACCATTTTTTATGTTAATTTTTTGAGAAAAGGACATTTTCTCAATAGTTTACTATGAACCGGTTGATGATCAATTACTATCAATTATCAATCTCTGTTTTCATACCTCTGTGTATAATTATATCCTTATATAAGTTATCTTGATAAACTAACTAAAAATAGAACGCATTCAACATTCGTCAAATTCAAAACTTCACCAGTCCTTTCACCTTATATTAAAATTCTAATAGTTGACCTTTAAATTTCGATAACGCGATATAATTCAAGATCACCTTATTTAAACATTTCAAAAAAGATAGAATCACATAAATTGATTACTTCAAACTGTATATCAACTGATTGTTCATTTAAGAGGTAGATATAGATATTGAGGATCAATTGTTTGAAACTGTTGATTTCGAAGGGGTACTAAAGTTTTTACATATTATATACTTAAAGAATATTTTGTTGGATATCTGTTTATTTGGGTACAGTTTTGGAATTATTAATTATAAAAGCTATTATAAGTCAATAACGATAATAAGTAGTAATGTCAAGTGAAAACGTTCAACAGTTTATGGCTATGGCTAATGTTTCTGCTACAGTTGCAGAAAAATATTTAAATGAATATAATGGTGATTTAGGTGATGCTATTAATGCATATTATGCTGAACAAACAGAAACAAGAAGTGAAAGGAATCGTTCTACTTCTCCCAAATTATCAAATAACAATAGTAGAAGTAATAGTAAATTTATGAGTTTTGCTGAAATGGTCAAAGGTCAAAATGATGAAGATGAAGATGAGAATAAAAGAAATACTTTTGCCGGTGGTGAAACTTCAGGTTTAGAAATTACTGATCCTAATGATTCTAACTCTTTAATTAGAGATTTATTAGAAAAGGCCAAAAGAGGTGGTCAGCAATTGCCAAAAAGTGATGATGATGATTCCAATCAAAGAGAAGAACACTTTTCAGGTAAAGGTTATAGGTTAGGTTCTGTGATTAACGGGGCTTCTGAAGTTGTAGAAGATAATGGGATTATAAGTGATAAAAGAAAACAAGAAAGAGTCACAAGAGAGATTACTTTTTGGAAAGAAGGTTTCCAAGTCGGTGAAGGTGAGTTATATCGTTACGATGATCCTGCCAATAGTTTTTACTTGAATGAATTGAATCAGGGTAGAGCTCCTTTAAAATTATTAAACGTTGAATTTGGTCAGGAAGTAGATGTAAATGTTTATAAAAAATTGGACGAATCATACAAGGCTCAAAAGAGAAAACTGGGTGGATTTCAAGGTGCAGGCCAAAGATTGGGTTCTCCAATTCCTGGTGATGCTTCACCTTCACAACCACTTGTTGCTGACACTTTAGAAACCGAATCCTCAACTAAGGAGAACGAAGATATCCAAGCCCCAAAAGGAGATTCATCAGTACAGATCAGATATGCTACTGGGAAAAGAGAAATATATCGTTGCAATGCCACTGATACTGTTCAATCTTTGTATGATCATGTGAAGGCAAATACAAATGATTCAAGAGCTTTCACGTTGAATTACTCGTTCCCTGTAAAACCAATTGAAAATTTTGATTCAACAATAAAAGAAGCAAATTTGGTTAATGCTGTAGCTGTCCAAAGATGGGTTTAGTATATCCAGTTTAGATACAAAGGAATGATTATTATGTAATTTTCCAAATGCATTTACGTAACAAATTGAGTGGTATTTAATTTTAATATATATATTATAATATATATAGCAGGATAATGTACCCTTTAGAAGTAAAAGAATATCTATTTTCAGTTATTTCATTAATTTTATATTATATTGTTACTGATATTTAAAAATGGCCATGAAGTTTTTATAAATTTGTAAATGTTATATACGTGGCAAATACTGTCCAATTAGATTCCTTTATGAATATTAATTATGAATTAATTAAATTTCATTACTACCTACCTTTGCAGCCCAGATTTCTTCTGCTTGAACAATGGTATTATGATTAGCCATCATTTTATTCATAGTTTCAATATATTCGTCATATTCGTCTGAATCGTATACTATACCACCACCAGCTTGCAAGTAGGCAATGCCGTCTTTATAGACCATTGTTCTTAATGCAATACAAGTATCCATAGTCTTACCATCGTATGACCAGTTACCTACAGCACCTGCATAAATACCACGTCTTTCTCCCTCCAATTCAGCAATTAGTTCCATCGCTTTAACCTTTGGTGCACCACTTACGGTACCAGCTGGAAAAATGGATCTAAAAGCATCAAATCTGGTTTTTCCAGGTCTCAAAGTACCACTAACCTCTGAAACTAAATGTTGAACATGTGAGAACTTCTGAACTGTTAATAATTTATCAACACTTGTGGTTCTTGGATCACAGACACGATTAATATCGTTACGAGCTAAATCAACTAACATAACATGTTCAGCACGGTCTTTCAAAGAGCCACGTAGTTGATCAGCTAATATATCGTCTTCTTCTGCTGTTTTGCCTCTTTTAACGGTACCAGCAATTGGATGAGTAATGACTTTATTTTTAGAGTCAGACTTACATAATAATTCTGGTGAGGCACCAATGATTTGGAAGTCCAAACAATCAATATAGAACAAGTAAGGTGATGGGTTTACAGTTCTCAAATGACCATAAATGTTAAAAGGATGTAGTGAGGTTGGTCTAGCAACACGTTGTGATGGAACACCTTGTATGATATCCCCTTTTTTAATATGTTTCTTCAAAGTAGAAACATGCATTTCGTAACCTTCTCTACCTACATTTGAAGTAAAAGTTTGGCCCAAAGTAATCTTGTCTTGATGTGGATACGGAATAGGAGAGTCGTCTGTTAATTTCTTGATAATATCGTTAATGATATCTGACGCTTTTTGGTATCCTTCTTCTAATTTTATTTCATTGATGTTAATATTGTGGATAATTTGAAATCTTTGGTAAACATGGTCGAATGCAATGATAGTGTCACATAACATTAGGTATGATTCGGGAACTTGTAAAACATCTTTCAATGGTCTTATAGTTTTTGGCTCAAAATATCTCACACAGTCATACGATATATAACCTACTGCACCACCACTTAAAGGAGGCAAACCTGGAACATTTTCTGCCAATTTAGTCTTTTCCATTTCTTTTTCTAATAAAACCAATGGATCAGCTTCAATTGATTCGGTTGGACCTGATTTCATTATTTTACGTGGTGAAATACCAATAAAAGAATAACGATCCAATTCGGTACTAGTCTTTGCACTTTCTAACAAGAAAGAAGGCTCTCTATTTGGATCATTTAATTTAGCTAATTTCAAATATGCAGCGTGTGGAGTTAAATCCAATGTTGGAAGAAATGCATAAATAGGGTACATATTAATAGGAGTACCTTCATTTTCCCTATACAATTGTTTTAAAGATTCCAAATCTGGTTGCACCTTAATAGTGGAAGCCATTTTGTAATGTGTAAGTAATCCCAATTCCAATTATTCTATAACCAAAACCCAATTGCCAATTAAGTATATCTCAACGGTGTCAATGTAACTGATTTTAGCAAATTTTGACTTAAACCAATCTTATTTTTTCAATTCTAACCTCTTGACCAACAGGAATAAAAGTCAATTTCAACTATAAAACAAATTAATTATCAAATTTACAATTCTAATCAAATTTAAGCTCCTAAACACCAGACAATTGAAAGCTTTTATTGGTCATGATGACTAATTTATATGTCAGTAATGGATTCTTAATAGCAAAACTAAGCTTTAAATTTCGAATTTTTTATGAAAAATCAAAAAATTTTTTTTCCATACTAAAAACTGAAGAGAAAATGTTCCATTTTATGATTAAATGGACAATTGATACATGAAATGTCCTATTTGTCAATGTTTTTCTAAAATTAAGACAAATCAATATTTTACCCGGAATTTATAAGATTTTGTAATCCACGTGATCATTCCTGTTTCCACGTGACCATTCCTGGCTTATCTCTTTTGTTCGTTTCGAAATCATCAAAGATCGAAGATTGTTTCTCTTCAATGAAATTATTATATCACATTAAAGTTTTAAAGGTTGATCAATTGAAAACGTTATAAAAAGATTAGTTATCCAGAGCCTGTTTGGTTTATTAAATGATCCAGATGTTGTAGTAACTCTATTTTTAAGTTTTTGAAGCTTTTGGTGTATCAGTTTCTTGGACAATATTTAATTCGCAGAGAAGATTATATTTAGAAATAAATAAGATTGTCTTTTAGATACCCTAATTTTTTGATCGTTTGATAAAAAATAAAGTTGGACAAATTTTAATTCAAGGCTTTTTACAATCTATCGAATTGGTTATCCACTGACAGATATAGCTGGTATATTGAGATATATTTGGTTTTATTTTATTCCCTTTTGAAATTGAGCTGGTCTCCTTTCCCCCTTCCTCCCCATTGTTGAAACGAACTTTTATTATCAATCATTCTGACAAGAATAGATTTAACAATTGCTTCATTGTAAATATTTATAAATTAAACAAATATGGGTCAAATTCTTTCTAATCCTGTTGTTGAAAAGGAACATCATTCCGGATTTGATTCATTCACATCTTTTGGTCTCTGTGCAATGCAGGGCTGGCGTATGTCTATGGAAGATTCTCATGTTGTAGAATTAAATGTTATGGAAGATGATGATAAGGATCATATCGCATATTACTGTGTGTTTGACGGTCATGGTGGATCCACTGTGGCACAATATTGTGGATTCAATGCGGCAAATGTATTAAAAAGACAAACTTCTTTCCAAAATGGTAATTTCCGCCAAGCTTTAATCGATACTTTCTTAGCGATTGATGAAGATTTATTGGATAACCATTCTTTTAAAAATGATCACAGTGGTTGTACAGCTACCTCGCTTTTGATTTCAAAATTAAATAAGGTTTTATTATGTGGTAATTCTGGTGATTCCAGAACTGTTTTGTCCACTAGTGGTTATGCTAAAGCTTTATCTTTTGATCATAAACCAACATTAGCAAGTGAAAACTCAAGAATTGTAGCTGCTGATGGATTCGTGGAAATGGACCGTGTCAATGGTAATTTAGCTCTGTCAAGAGCTCTGGGGGACTTTGAATTTAAATCAAATAAGAAATTATCTCCTTATGAACAGGTAGTTACATGCATCCCAGACGTTATCCAACACACATTAAATTATGAGGATGATGAATTTGTTATTTTAGCTTGTGACGGTATCTGGGATTGTTTATCCTCACAAGAGTGTGTAGAATTAATTCATTATGGTATTTCATTAGGAAACATGTCTCTAAATGACATCTCTTCGAAAATAATTGATGTATGTTGTGCTCCTTCTACTGACGGACCTGGAATTGGTTGTGATAATATGAGTATAGTAATTGTAGCATTATTGAAGGATGAAGAAACAACCGAACAATGGTTTGAAAGAATGAGAGAAAAAAAATACAGTAACTTTATTTCTTTCGAAGAAAGAAGGAGAAGGGTTTTCCAGTATTTTAAATTTCCAGAAGGAGACAATGACTCCCTTTTTGATATCACAACAAAAAAAAACCATAATCATTTAAATCATGGTCTTACAATCGACGATAGTATGGAAATAGATGACACCGATGATGATGCCGATAAACATGTTAGAACTCAAGGTGGATCTGTTGATCTGTTTTCACTTGAAGCATTGTTAGATTCAAGCGGTATTAGAATTTCTCAAGATGGCAACAATACTTCATACATTCATGGTGCTGCATTAACTGAAATGTTAGCTTCATTGAGTGGAGCTACAGCCAATGAACTACGCAGACAAGATAGAATAGATGAGTATGAAGAAGATGATATAGAAGATGAAGATAATGAAAACAATATTAAAAATGAAGACGATAGCGATGATTAATAAAAGCCGAAGTATAATTTATTTATTAATAATTAATATATTTCGATCTTAATGACTTCAATTTATAAATTTTATTCTGTTTATATATCATAAAAGTACATAGATATTTGAATCAATTAATGATCAAATATACGGAACTAGTAACTAATTTAGATTCGTTTCATTATTTTTCTATATTACATATGTAATTAGTTCGATGAAATGCTCAATATTATTATTACACAATCTTTATATATAGACTACTTAAACCAAATGTGCTTTGTAAATTTATCCTGAAAATAATTTAATCAGTATAACATCTATTTGCTATTTTAAATTCTCTATATTTTTACCACCTGCGTTTACGCCTACGGATTGCCTTTCGTGGCTTGTTCTTAGGTGGTATTTCTTTAATGGAGATTCTCTTCGGTAATATTCCATTAGATGGCTTTTCCCTGTGTGGTATTTCCTTGGTTGTCCTTCCTTTTTTATTCCCTACCTCATTAATTGGTGTTTCAACTAACTTTTCAACAGAATCTGTTTTTTCAGAATCATCCTTTCCAGTGATTGTACCATTTTCTTCAACGACATTCTCTTTTCCTGTCGTAATATCATCGTCATTAGCTAGTTCATTTATATCTACAAATTCTTCTGCATCACTGGTATCAGAATCAGAACTAGAATATCTATTACGCCTAGATTTTCTTGTCTGGATATCATCATCTTCACCTTCATCATATTCATCTTCATCAGATTCCTCTTCATTTTCTTCATCTATTTCATATGCATCATCTTCCTTGTCCTCTATCTCATCAATTTCTTCAATAATATTCTCGGGTTCTGAATCTGAGGCAACCGTTTTCTCAACTTTATTGGTTGCATCCAGACTAGATTTTTGAAATTTGGTTTTGTTTCCTGAAGAATTGTGAGAGTTGATACCATTGGATCGAATTGAACGTTCTTCTAAATTTGGTTCTACAAAAGACAATCTCCAATTCGAAATATCTTGCTTAATTTCAGAAAATTGGTGTAATTGCCGCTTTTTTATTTCCTCCATCGCAACTTCCTCCATGGGCCTGGGATCTATAATATCATCTTTCATAAAATTGACTAACATAGATATACTGTTTTTAAAGAAATCCGATTGAACTTGTCCTGGGACTGTCAAATCTTTAGATGCATTGCTAACAGTTTCTATGGAAGTACCAACAGCGTTGACTCCGCAAGAAGGGCCAAATATCATCGGTTTCCATATAAGCTTACTAGACTTTAATTCTATATAGCCCTTGGCTTTCCATTTATCATATATTCCTTGTATTCTATCCCACGAATCAATGATGATACAATATGATGTACTAGACTTATTTTCTTGTTCCTTATCAATTACTGTTTTCTGATACAGTACCCCTAGTTGTTCCAAACCCAAAACTACATCAGTGGGAATCATACCAGTCAAATTAGAAATGTCTTCTAGAGTAATATATATCGACTCAGAGTTTGTCAATATGGTTTCTTTTATTTTCAATAATACCTGTGCACATTTTATTTTCCAAAAATTCCTATATGACAACAGTCCAAGGTCTGAAAGTGGTTTTTCTGGAGTACCTAATTTATACGCTCTTTTTGTTAGTAAATAAGAAAAATCCATCAAAAAATGACCATAACCTTTTCTTTGATATATAGGCAAGGTTAAAATACAACTCAAATTATAATCAGTTGAGTTCAACTTTTCATGTGAATAGTATCCAACTAAATGGAACCTTGGACATTGATAACCTTCATCCTCTCTTTCAGTTAGAATATAAAATATAAAAGGTTCAACATCATAGTATAAAGTCTTCGAATTCAAAAACAATTTTGCTAATAAACATAAATTCTGACAATAAATTACATTTTCTCTACCATCTACCTCCCATACAGATATTTTTCCATCTCTATATATTTCATTTCCTGGTGGATGCGTATGGGTACATTTTAACTGATGCCTGTAATAAATGTATCTTGAATTCATGTACTTCAAGCAAAATTCGCAGATGAAAAGAATTTTGTTTTTATTATATTCTTCTGGATATGGTGTTGTATACCATGTTTTAATTTCGTAGTTTCTTAAATATATAAATTCAATAGATTTTGTATTAGAATTCTTTGTCGTCACACTTCCACGATATTTTAGAGATTTATTTTTTCTCTTTAAACGTCCTTTACTGTCTCGATTAAGAAAATCTGGTTCATTAGGATCCGGATGGCTTGCTAACAACACATTTGCATTACAAAAACTAGCCATTGATGATTGATCTAGAAGTGATTTGAAAAACTGTCGATCCACAATATTTGGTGTTGTCTTATGTGTAGAAGCATCCTTAGATTTATTAATGGCTCCCCTAAAAGGGAGTAAACTGTAGTTATCTAACATATTAATAAGCTCTTCCGATTCAGTAATTTCAAAATCATGAATATTATTATGTTCTAAAGATTCAACATCTTTCCTTTGTGAAGTTCTCAGTATATTATCAAAATTCAAACACTTAAGTGGATCATATTTTATCTTCAATACAGCCATATCTAATTGCGGTTTTATTTCTGTACTATCAGAATTGATATTTAATTGAACATTTGGATTATATGTGTTAAATTCTTCAGCTGTTTTGGGGATACCATATATGCTTACGTTAACTGGGGGATTTTCTATGACTGGTTTGGGCGGAATAGTACTATCATTACTAGGTTCCTGTTCTACTGTATTGTTTTGCTTGATTTCATTATATTGAATTCGTTTCGGTACATTTTTCACATTACTTCTTTTTGATTTTCTTCTAGATTTAACGGTCTGTTCAAATCCATAAGCAGCCTTCCTCTTGTATACATAACTAACTGGAGTATTGACTCTTCTTGACCTTCGTTTATCTGGGTTTTCCAAAGCAACTTTTGATACCTGAGAATGTATATTATCATCAATAATAAGATTTCGGAGCAAAGCATCCCTTCTTTTTTTAATCTTTTTTAATTTATCATCACCACCATTGTTTATTGGAATGACCCCATCTACATTATTCATATCAGCACTGTTCATCTCAAACACCAAATGCAAACTCTTGAATCCATTCGATATTTATAGACGTCTTTATTACAAATCTTCAGTAAAGATGACTACCCAAATTGGTTACTGAAAATAGATATCAATAAATCAAAATAAATAGACAAACAACTCTTCAAAAACAATGAGATAGAAATGACAATTAACCTTAAAGTCTTCAACAAAGATCGACTTTAAATTTAAACTTTTAACAAAGATCTTTCAACTCATCAAATCCTCTTCTTGTTACCGATGAACCTTTAATGATTATTTTAAATCAAAACAATCGAGTTGTTATCACAGTCAAATTTTTGTCATTTGACCAAATTCAGAATTTTATCATGTGATCTAAAAATAAACAACACGTGATCGTAATTATACCGCCAATAATTCTCTTGGTATAATACGGTTCTCGATTAAGTTAAACGAAGTGAATTAACTACAATACATGTCAATTTAACAATTTAACAATATAATAATATATATATATATATATATTATTGGTATGTTATATTATATTGGTATATATCTATCTATAAAGAATGGAATACAAAGGGGAATAATAGAAAAAAAAAATGGTAACATCGAAGGTATATTACAAGTTGTGGTTTGAAATTACAGAAGTAATGAGTACAATCGATTCTAATCTGAAATTAACCAAGCTAGTTATTATCAATTGGGAGGAGGAGAAGGAAAGGAGGGATGGGGTAGAATGAAGTATAAGTCTCTATTAGCTGTGATTTGGTAGAATAGGCTTAGTGTCCAGCATTGTATATAAATAAAATAGAAAGGGTTAAAAAAACAACGAACATTTTGATGAGCAGCGATTCCATCTTTGTAATTAAAAGAAAAACATAAATGTGTTATTAGTGATAATTATTATACTTTTTTATTTCTAGTTTGTTTGTTTTATTTTCTCTCAATATTTGAAAAACGATAGGAAACTTTAGAAAAAAAAAATTGATCAGACAACTGCATTAGAATTGGAATAAAAATAAACAAACAAAGGGATCATTAAAATTCGACATAATGTCAGTGTGATATTTCAGGTAGTTGAGTGATTGCCACTAATTTAAATTAATATACAAACAGTTATTATTCATTTATATCACCATATATTTTTTATCGAAATTTGTTTTACATTATCATGACATCCATAAACTCATAAACTTAACTAATGGGAGAAATTGGAATTTCATGGGAAAGGAAAAAAGAAAAAAAAGATATTCGCTGTAACTTGTTGATATCACTATCGTTTCTAAGAGAGTGCAGAGAAACAGCATGAATAAATATATTTTGTTCAAAATGAAATTCCAAGTTTCCCATTAGATAAAAGAGGAAACATTATTAATCTTTAATCATACATTACAAATCCAATCCACTTAAAGAACGGGTTAAACCTTCTTCAAAGTTCCCGTCTAAGTTATTAGCATTAACAGAATTCAACAATTCAGTGGCATTCATATTAGTTGGGGATACATTTTGTTGTAAACCATCTTCATAAAATGAATGCATTGAAAAATTAGAATGGACAGAGCCATTAGTGTTCTGAGGCATCAACTGTTGAAATGGTTGCTGGACTTGTTGGTCCAAAAATTGAGAACTCAAAGCAGTTGCAGAGCCAGACAGAGTACTGTTGTTATAAAATGAAGATTGAATTCTTTGCTGATTGGTATTAGGTTGAACTTGGTTTGTTGGTGGTGAAATTCCAGGGTTTCTCAATAACGGGTTAACTTGTTTTAGCTGCAAATTATTAGAGGAATAACCTGAAGGAATTCTAGAAGATGATGACAAATTCTGCTGTCTTATAAATGGCTGTTGTTGATGTGATTGATCAACATTCTGTAAAGTAGATTGTTGTTGTTGCATCGAAATTGGTGGCTGTCCAGGTAGTTTTTGAGATCCTATATTTGAATTTGCGTTGAAACCAAGATTCATACCACTCATTGTTGGTGATGCCATATAATTATGGTTTTGATTTGTTGCATTAGAAATCATACTACCACCATTAATTAAGTTATTATTAGCAGCAGTTGCAGCAGCATGTGCTTGTAATAGACTTGTATAAGATTGTGACTTATTCATAGATCCACCCGTTGAACTTGGTTGTAATGGATGAGAAGAAGATATTTGGTCATTTTGACCTGTTTGTTGCAAATGTGATTGCAAATTAGTTTGATCTAATGTTTTTCTTCTGATTACAATAAAAGAAGAATCATAAGTAGCAACTAATCCCAAGAATGAACACAACACATTGATAATACGTTTATGGTTTGCAGATAAACCTAATGGATATACCAATTCATAGTAAATTCTCTCCCTATCCTTAAATAACAACAATTGTGAATAGATTTCTAGAGTATCTGGATCATTAAAATCTAATTGTTGTGGCGGTAGAGGCAAAATTGTAGATGATGGCAAAGGTGGGTAATATCTTTCAGTTGTTGAATTTTGTTGTCCATATAGAGAAGAGTTGGTATTTTGGGCAGACAAGTATTGTTGGGTAGCAGGAGGTTTTTGAGTAATATTTGACGTATTACCATTGACAAAAACTGAAAATAATTGTGACGATGAGGCTGAATTAACATTATTATTAAAGAAGGAACTATTGTTGTTCATGTTGTTCAAAGTAGTTCTGCTTAAAGAATGTAAGGATAAATTTGAGGCTACTTGGTTAAGGTTATGTTGTTCTTCAAGTTGGCCGCGTTTTTCTCTTTTTTCTCTTTCAATTCTTTCTCTTTCAACTTGTGGCAACATCTTTTTATATTCAACTCTTAATTTTCTTCCTCCAATCTCTTCACCGTTTAATAAATCAATAACCTTAGTTGTTTCTTCAGTAGTTTGGAAGTTTGCAAAAGCCAAACCTCTGAAGACACCGTTATCAAAATGGTAGTTGAAGGCATAAGGTAAAGGTAAACCTAAATTTTCGATAAATTCCAATAGTTGTTCCTTCTTGATGGCAAATGGAATATTCTTGATAACAATAGCTGTTGGGATGACTTCATCATCATCAGCAGTTTCTTGGTTTTCTAATTCATCATTTTCACTGCCTTCTTGTTGTTGCTGATTATATCTGTCATTTTGAACATTTGATTTATCACCAGAAACTTCAATATTGATCTCATTATCATTAATATTTTCTGGAACTTCAGAAACGTTACTTTCTAGCTGTGACATTTTTCAATCACTGCTTCTTTTTAATGTTCCTGAAGATCACAAGGTACAGATATATATATATATATATTAAACTGGTGCCTTGCCAATATAATAATTTTGATCTATAACCTTAGCAAATGCAAAAACGGTATTGTGAAATCTAAAATTCTAGATTCTTTTAATCTAATTTTTTTAGATGTTTACTATTAATGATAAATTTCAAATATTTTACTTTTGCAAAAGTAAAAATTTATAACTAATTACAGTTTTTCCTTCGAAGAGAGAGAGAGAGTGTGTGAGAGAGATACACATTTCGCTCAAACTTTTAATTTTAAATTTATCTCATTTCATTAATTAATGTGTGGTTTTTTCTTATTTTAACGTCTTCTCTCTCTTTATTAAATTTTTTTTCAATCAAAAAAAAAAAAAAAAAAGATAAAAAAAAGAAACTTTGATAATTTTTTTTCTTTTCTGCGGTATCTTGTCTAGAGTTACATTTTTTCTTTCTTTTATTTATTTATTCCAGTTTCTCTCTTCCAGAGAACAAAAAGGACAAATTGATGGATTTCCAATATTAGGTAGAATCGCTAATAAAGATAGCATTATGATGATGATGATGATGATGTTATTATGACAATAATCTCTTTCCTGTAGTTTAGGATCCATGAGGGTAACAGTATCGGAGTTCGTAAAATGGTAACTGATTATAGTATTTATTTATTTGTTGCGATAGATTTTAGTGAGAAAAAAGAGCAACTAGGAAACACATTTGTCTAAACAGAGGATGTTTAGTTCTGATTAATATAACTGTGTCAAGTAAATAAAGTTTATTCTGGATTATATACAAACATACTATCGTTATTCCATATTTTGAATTAGACCAATTTGTTTCAAAACATATGGCTCCTGAAGCACTCTTGTCCAATTGTATATCGTCTCTCTACATCAGGAAGGGGACCTTGCTATGTAACAACAACAAATATTTTTTCTCAACAGCTTATAGCCGTTTATGCAACTAGTGATGTAAGCTGCACGATAAGGTAAGACCATTCAGATACCTTGCAATATATATAAATATAAAAAAAAAATAATACTTCCATTAATTGAATGTCAGTGAATCTATAAACTTGCTAATTGCAGAGATCTAAAATTATATATTTGTGACTGGAAACTCAAATATGTTTATGTGCATATTAGAACCAATATTACGTATCGATCAAACTAAAAAAAAACAACTAAAAAATATGGAAAGTACACATACTGTCAGCAATACAACTGATATATTATTGCCTGTTTTATTTTTCTATATATTCCCAATTACTTACACTATCAGTGTCTTTATTTATTTATTCCAGTGCCATAACTAATATGGAATTTAGATATATTGTAATCTATATTTCTCTGGGTCAACCGCCAGTGTCTCTATTTATATATTCCAAAATTTTCTTCAAATTATGTTCAGTAATATGAAGATAATGTGCATTTTTGTGGCATTTCCAATAATATTAGATGTGTACTATTTAGAATATGACCATGTGTCAATAAATGGAAACAAAAGAGAGGGACAAACCACAAAAAAAATTAAATATATTAAGGACATTCCATAGTGTTTCTGATTCTTTTTCTTATTACATTATGACAGAAAACAGATATAATCTTACACTACACAGAAGTGAGAAACACATTGACATGTATTATTGGTATGATATGATAATAGAGAAAGTATGTCACGTGTGTGTATATATTACCCTACCTTTTTTTCACATACATCAGTTTATCTCATATCGATCCTATCTAACTAACCTTTATCGTATCGTAACGTATCGTATCGTCTCTGTCTCTCTAACATAAATTTTTTCTTTTATCACACATCATCGTAACGCATAACCAAGCAAGAAAACCAAAAAAAAAAAAAGTTTCAAAATTTCGAAACTGCTGTAATTGTTTGTTATGGTTTGGTCAATTTACACTAACTAACTAACTAATTGTCTATAATGAATTGATTGAATGGAGGAAAACAGTTTATTGTAGAGATGGGTAATATTCAATTGATTAAACAAGGGATTAATCAACTATATATCTATAACTTTAATTTGTTTAATGAGTTATCTATGGTTTGTCTTGTAGTGTCCTATTTCTTAGTCTTTGTTTGAATTCGTTCTCTCTTGTTAATTTTTAATTTTGATTTTTTTTTTCATTATCACTTCAGTTCACTGGGTTATAATTAGATACTGTTGTGTATTATATAATTATATTATCAGAATAAATTTTATAAAAACATGGCCAATACTCCTCCTCCTCCAGGTGGTCAACGTATTCTTCAAAAGAGAAGACAAGCTCAATCTGCTAAAGATAAGCAATTGAAGCAAACCCCTACTTCCGCAAGACAAGCTGGTTTTGGCGGTTCTACCAATTCGATCTTGAAGATCTATACCGATGAAGCTAATGGTTTAAGAGTCGATCCTTTGGTAGTTTTGTTTTTATCCGTTGGTTTCATCTTTTCTGTTGTTATCTTGCATGTTGCTGCTAAGGTTTCTGGTAACTTATTCTAATTGAATACATGTTTTGGAATAGGTAATGTTATGAACAAAATTAAAAAAAAAATATGAAAATAAATGAATAAAATATAATATATTTAAAGATAAAAATAGAAATAAAATAAAATGAATACCAGAACAATTTGAATTTTTCGCCTTTATTTCAACTAAAGGTTATATTCTTTGTCTCCATCGATCTTCCTAACATTATATGTATTGTATGTACATGATAGATATTACACTATGTAACACAGGACTGATTATATATATATATAATAAATGAATTATTACGTGAAATTAATAAACTAAAAATAAAAAAAGATTTGAAAATGCAAAACACCTGGCGGAATTTCAATCAATCCATATATATTCATTAAATATCCTGGATTAATATTTCTATAACTTTACCAACATGTTCAACTGGCACTATGTGTTTTTCAACTTGATCCGTTTTTATCACTTCCCATTTGTAATCATCTTTATATTTAATATAATCATCTTCCCATTTATGACTATTATCCCATCTTATACCTCTAACTTCAATTTCTACGTTTGGCCAACTTTTAGAGCCAATTATGACATTGAATGGGATACCAATTAATTGGGATAATTCAATTTGTTTACCAATCCCAGTCTTATCTGGGAAAGAACTGAATATTTCGTTCTTTAATATAGGCGATTGATATAGAATATCCTTGACTTGATCAATCCTCTCTTGATTCAATTCTTTATGCGAAACATTTACTTGGGAACAGATACTTACAATGTATGGTGAAATTACACTAGGCCATCTAAAACCTTTAGAGTCTCTAGTAATCTCAGCAATTGCACCGATTAATCTGCTAACTCCAATACCATAGCATCCCATTTCGATTAAGCTTGGTTTACTATTCTCATCAAAGTATGTGGCACCGAATGATTCAGTATATTTTGTCCCTAAATGGAATGTGTGTCCTACTTCAATGCTTTTATCGCTTTTCAATTGACCTTCTTCACAACTTCCACATAGTTCACCATCTATAGCATCTATAATAGAAACATCAGTAATTGATGTGAAATTATTTTTAGCATATTTCTTTAATGGGAAATCAGGGAAGTTACAGTTTGAATTAATACGGATATCCATAACCCTAATGACATGAGCTAACATCATATCATCTTGATTTTCTAAAAATTTTGATATTATTTTATCATTATCTAATATTTGAGAAATGGAGTTAATGTCACTATCTAGTTCTTTCTTTGCCAAATTCCAATTAAATTGTTTTCCTTTTGGATAATAAAAACATATTAATGTTGATAAATCTTGTGTCAGAGCATATTGGACATCTAAATCACCGGTGTATTCGCCAGGTGCTAGAGGATGAGATTCACATTTTTCCATATTAAAAGTTTCGTTACAATGATCACAAGTGAACAATGTATCTTCACCAGAATGATGAATATAATGATATTCTTTACTTAAATCACCTCCTATATCACCGCTATCAGCCCATGCACTTTTGAAAGGTATTTTTAATTCTGTAAATAAACTATCATATACTTTGTTCATATTATTAAACGCTTCAATTGCTTGAGCTTTACTTCTTGCAAAAGAATATGCATCCTTCATTAAAAATTCTCTTGCTCTTAATAATCCACCTCTTGGTCTTTTCTCATCTCTAAACTTATTACCAATTTGATAAACGGTAATAGGCATATTTTTATAACTTGTAATATAATTCATCATTAAATTGGTTATATCTTCCTCGCAAGTTGCAGTCAAACAATATTGTGCATCTTTAGAATCTTTCAATTTGAATAGTTCTTTATTGTTCCATCTATTTGATTTTTCCCATAAGTCTTTTGGAGATATAGTACTTAATTTAACTTCATAAGCACCAGCTTCATTTTGCATCTTATTATGAATTAATAGTTCCAATTTTCTTAAACTACGTAAACCTAAAGGTAGCCAATTGATAAAACCACTTCTAGAACCATGGATAAGACCAGCATGTTTCATTAAATCTGCAGTCTGTAAACTTTCAATATTGCCATTTCCTGATTTTTTGATCTTTGGTAGGAAACTATGCAATGATCTTAAAAAATTGATATTTCCTAACTTAGCAGGAACCATTATTATCGGAAGAAACCCACGATACTAGACATCATCTTATATTACCAAGTGGAAACTACAAGTCAATTGAAATCAAGATAGTTACTCTGAGAACCTTTCAACAAATCGATTTCTTTATAACTCTTTTATCTCGAATCGAGTTAACTTTAATTCGATACAGCGAGAATGTCAGTAGAGACAAAAAGAAACAAGAGTATGTTTAAACAACTTCGAATCAAGATATCAAGATACCAACATCATCAATAACATTGACATAATTAGATAAACCATATCAAGTAATTGGCTTTTCAAAGGTTAAACTTGTTTTAAAAAAGAGTCTAATTTGAGATAGTATGGATAATTTCAAGGTTTTATTCGTATAGCCAGTTTAATCAATCTGTCAATGAGATGGACAAATATCTATATTTGTGGGATAAATTTTTTAAGAAAGAATTGATATCAGATAATTGACATATCTCTGTATGAGTCTAGTTCCATGTTGATCAACTGTATTTCACTAGTAGGTTATTAATAGTGCTTCTTGTGTTTTCATTTAACCGTCAAGCCTTACCCAATCAGGTTACAAGGACTCAATTATAAATCGGATTGACCATCTACCTCTCCAGATCGGGTAAAATAATTGAACTGTTAATGCGGGATAAGCCAAATATGTGATTACTGTTCAGATCTTAAATCTAACATTGCATCGATCATCAATTATTTTGTTAAATATCACAATTAATGGTTATAAGACTTCGATCTGAACAGATAGGAACTGCTTTTGAAACTGAATCATCATTTATTGTTATTGTTTAAGTCCCACAACAATTTCAGGTTGGGTCCTAGTGAATTGGCACAAAATATATATGTAATTGTTTTGTATCTTTTTAAATAGATATTATAAGCATTATACCTTTTAATTTCAGTTAAATGTTATCAATTGGTTTGAATATTTAAAGTTAATTTGTAAGGATTGGATTGTATTAAATAAGATCTAAATTTTTTAACTGCTTTCTAAGAATTGGGAAGGAAACTGGGGTGAAAAAGCAAAGTAAAAGGTGAACGTTGCACTGCTATTAAATTTTTATTCTAGGAATTGGTTACAGCTTTATATATTTGTTTTTTTTGTTTTAATTTAACTATTTTTTAATCTAATCTAAGTTTGCTTTTATATAGCTATATACATTATTTTAGTTGTGGTGTCTATTGGAAAATTCATTAATGATGGATACTGTAGCTACTGGCAGTGGCATTAGTATTTTAAGCTCACCTTTTAAAAATAATTATACTACTAATTTGATTAGAAATGAACGACAGCAACATACTGGTGATGACGAGAATACACTGAAAAGGTATAAAACTACATTGTCCAAATTAAACGAATTAGTAGTGGGAAATACAGCAATTGATAATAATAATAGTAATAGTAATAATAACAACAACAATAATAATTTAAATAATTTAAATAAAAATCAACAACAGTCGTTGAGGTTTGGTTGTGGGATAATTACTGGTAATAAAAAATCGGTAAATTTGTTTGGTACCACTGTTAATACTTTACAAAGGAATAACTTAGATAGGAAACCAAAGAACTCTTTAACATCTCCATTATTTGACATTTGGAAGACAGAAAATGTTAAAAGTATTAGAAATATTTCAAAATCTGATATTATTAAAAAATTGGAAATTTTAAATGAACATAAGTTTTGTAATAATATGATTCATAATAATGAATTTGCAAACCATCCAAATCTACAATTCAATCAACACAGCGAATTTGATCTACAAGAATATAATTCTTTTGATTTTTATAGCCCAATGATTTCCAGAGGTAGTGTGACACCATCATTTAATAGAGATCAAAGCAATATTTCAAGTGGAACGACAATGTTCGAATATGAATTAAACAGTAATATTAGCAAGATGAGGATCAACCAAGAATTTGAATCATTTGAGTTTAATGTAAAGAAATTGGAAAATGATATAATTAAAATTAAAAACCAAAGTAGAAAATTACTGGCGTCCAGCAATCGTTTAGATTCACAAATAAGAATTAATTTGAGCAGAAGGGATTCGATAGAGCATAGTTATCCCGAGACAGCAACTGATATTGATAATGATGATTATTCTAGCGATTATAATTATATGGATTCTAATCCAAGTTACGAAAAAGATTTGAAATTAAAAGTACTTCAACTGCATAAAAAACTAGAGTTATACAAAAGAACAATTAGAAATTATTCCAATCGAGACGTTAATTCTCTTGATGATAGCGTAAGTAGCAAAAACCCTACTAGAAGGAGACATATCATTTCAAAGTTGTCACACAGCGAATTATTAGAAGTTGATGGTAACTCTAATGAAAGAGAAGAAGAAGACGATGATGATTATTTTGATTCCTCTTCAATTAATGAATTAACATTTGAAAATTTGAAATTGCAAGAAACACTACACAGGAAAAGGGATATAGATATATCTAGATTCGGTAGCTCTAGTAGATCTGGATTTCAGTTACATTTACAAATCCAAAAGGAATGAAAAGAATAATGACAATATTTTTAATTTTAACGACCCATCTTATGAATCAGACTAAAACCTTTAATACTAGTACAAATATCAATTTTGTATAAATGATGTTGTAATATTAACTATTGTAGAACTTTCTGAATCTGCATTATATTTATATTCTTTTGAAACATCTTTACCGAATATACTAGGGAATACCTTCCAGTAAAGTTTCTCTTCTATAATTTTAGTATTAACATATAAAACAAAAGATTAATAATTAATTTTTGATATTTTTCAATTTGTTATGGCAATATAATCTTTTATTTTAACGTAAAATATTTCTTTGTACAAAGAAATGCTTATGATTGATGTGATAGAATCATTGATTATATCTATGAAATCGTGAAAATAAACCACTTGAGACATGGCTGCATTATAATCACTTGGTATACATATATAATGTGTTTTTGAAAAGTAGAGTGTGAATAATATTTAAAGTTTGAATAAAACTATTTTATTTAAATGCTAAAACTGTTCTTCACCCTTAATGTTGTTCAGTAATGTTCATTCTATCCTGACTGAGGTTTCATGTAATGTGAGAGCACCTGTAGACAGAGACGATATATTTCAATTTTAACATATTCATATGTTACGTTTTCTAATTGAATCTAAATGGCACATATGTTTATTTATATATATATCTCAAATCATAACCAATCTCTGAAATATTATAAGATTCGTTTTGGATCAGTTATATATCGCACAATAATCTATGGGCAATTGTACTTTTGAGCCAATCTCTTTATACTTATAAATACAGGAAAGAATATATCATGGACTGTAGATATGACCAATAATGGATTAATAAAGTCCCCAATCGCAACATCAAAATAAAGATTTTTATTACCTATTTTATGTATAACACACCATACAGGGAATTACTGACATGCCATTCAAACAAATCCTATCTAATTGGTTTTTAACAATTAGATAAGGTAAATAATATATATGACCTGTATTCTATTTGAAAGGAATGAAAACTAAATTATATCCTCGATTTAACTTGCTTGTATAAATAAGAAGATTTAGAGTCTTTGATTTTACTATCCTACAAATAATTGTCTATAATAAATGTGTCAAGGATATCTTCCATGACATTGCCATCCATCTAGAAAACAAAATAGTTTGATATAATTGCAAAGATAAAACTCCCTATAAAGTCTTTAATGGTACGATAGGGCAATAGAGATGATCTATATTTCATAAATAAGCCATAAATCCATTTCTTACCGTACCTCTTCAGTATCATAGTAGTAATATTCTAAAAATATTAGACAATATCCCATGATATAATTTGCTTAATCAAAAAGAATGTGTTTGTAAAAACAAGAATTGCCAGTTGATTACTTACTCAAGATACTACTCGATATATATCGATATAACTCATTTATTATTCAATTATCAATTTGAAGTTCAAGTATAACTAGCAAGTGAATTGAGTTAATTATTCAGGTACAAATTGGTTCCAAAATAAACATATAGGCATCTGAATCTAATGGATTGAGTTCAATATTTCATTTATCAATTGCAAGTTACATTAATAATTAACATGTCAGTGTGTTATAGATGATGACAATTTAGAATAAAGTTTAAAATACAATTTATAATGCCCCCTCTGGGATTCGAACCAATGTCAATCATCCGGTTTCGGTTCCTTTTCAAAAATTATTCAAAATCTTGAAATAATCATCCCCAAACTCCAAGATGATTAAAAACTGATTCAATGTTAAAATAATCATTATATTTGGGATGAATCATCTAACAAGATATAATATATGGCTAAAGGTTTTATAATTCAAGATTGATCATAGTATATTTTTGTGGGTTCACTTTGAAAGCTGGCGATGAGTTCTGTCTCAAGGGAAAATATAAGACCAAAGCCATGGGAGACTAAAGGAATTGACGTTCAAGAACTTACAAAACTTGGGAATAATCGTGAAGATTCTGCTAATATTCTTATTGGAAGTGAGAATGGGGTAGCCAGCGGGGATGGTATATCTTCTGAAGGTGCTGGAGTTAGTGATGGCCGTAATCCAGATCATGGTAATAGTTTAGGGAACTATAATACAAATGGTGGAATGTTTGATTCAGGTAATCAATTATATCGAAATATGAATGGTTTGCAATATGGTAATAGTGGGTTATATAGAAATAATTACTATGATTCTGCATTTAGTCCTACGTATGGAAACAGGTATGGGGGTGGATTTTATGGGAATAGTTATGGAAGTAGTTACGGATCAATGTATGGCTCACCGTATGGGGGGTTGAACCAAAATAACACCGGTGTTGCTGAATCTACCCAAGCTACTTTCCAATTGATTGAAAGTATAATAGGGGCATTTACTGGGTTTGCTCAGATGTTAGAATCGACATATATGGCTACGCATAATTCATTTTTCACAATGGTTTCTGTAGCAGAGCAATTTAATTATTTGAAAGAAGCTATAGGTTCATTCTTTGGTATATTTGCATTAATGAAAGTGTTAAGAAAAATTCTACATTTTCTATCCAATGGCAAGATAAAATCAATAGAACCTAGCAAAGAACATGATCCAAAGGGAAAATCTGAAGAAGATAAAAAGGATATTGAAAATGGTAACATTAACCATATAAAGAGGGAAACCGAGGTGTCAAAAACCAAAAAATCAAAATACCATATAATCCTATCATTCTTATCATTAGTGTTTGGATTACCAATTATATTATCAAAAATTGATACTATATTACGTCTAAAGAACGGTCAAAGAAAGCAGGTGTTGAATGGCGAAACAGATAGTAACGGGACAGTTCCCATCGAATTCGCAAGAGCATGTTACGATTTCACACCAGAGAATAATAAATTCGAAGTACCTTTAAACAAAGATGATATCGTAGCTGTATTACGTAAACAAGATGCATTAGGAAGAAACTCGAACTGGTGGAAAGTCCAAACTAAAGATGGTAAAACCGGTTATGTCCCTTATAATTACATCGAAGTCATTAGACAGAAATTGTTACAATCTAACTGATCTAAAATAGTCGGAAGAATACCCTTTCACAAATATTCTTAATATTCAAATACATAATTGTACATATTCCATTCAATACAATACATTACATAATATTCAATGATTCAGATTGTTCAGAACTAGCTTACCAATTCTCGTAGAGCGAATTTGAAATATCAAATATCAAAGACAAGAACTACAAGAATAATATATATATTAAAGATATATAAATAACGATGGAAGTAAGTATTCAACTTGGTATTTTATAATAGACTAGGTGAATTATTGGTAATCAATAATATTATATTGAGGAAAGTCTATTATTTGAACAGTTTCCTAATTTTATATTCGATATGAGTGAAGATTTAAGGAGAAGAGTGCTGCTAGATCAATTAAATGGTCCAAATAGGGTATTAGAGAGTTTAGATGAAGAGGAATCGGAGATAGGTGATCTTCCAACTATTTCTAGAAAATATCCATATCGTCATGTTTCATTGAATAGACCAGAATCTCCAGATCATGAAGATAAATTTGGTGATGATTCTGAGTTATGGAGAGACTTCTTTGATCACAATGCAAGACATGTAATCGATAAAAATAATATTAGTATCAACTTATATTATAAGTTACCTAATAATTTGGAAAGTCCCTCAATTCCTCTGTTTATCTGTCATCATGGAGCTGGATCTTCTGCTTTGACTTTTGCTTTATTAGCCAAAGAGTTATATGATAGATTGGAAGGTAAATGCGCAATTTTAACATTTGATGCAAGAGGACATGGTAAGACCAGACCATTGGATCGTAATAAAAAATTTCCATTCAACTTAGATGACTTTATCTCTGATTTTGTAGAATTATCTACATGGTTTTATAATGAAATTTTAACTAAAGCTATTCCAAGTGAAAAGTTATCCTTATTACTTCTAGGACATTCATTAGGTGGTTCTATATGTACATTTTCGTTTACACAATTCTCACAATCAATCAAAAGTAAAATTTTGGGTGTTACAATGTTGGATATTGTTGAAGAAGCTGCAATTTCAGCTTTAGATAACGTTCAGTCATTCTTGGATAACACTCCAAATGTATTTGAATCTTATCAGAAGGCAATTGATTGGTACATTGATAATCAGCTATTACGCCAACGAAGGAGTGCAGAAGTTTCGGTACCAACTTTATTTTTTAAAACTAAATCTGATAAAGTAGTAAGAATTACAGATTTATCGATGTTTAGAACCTACTGGTCCACTTGGTTCTCTGGATTATCTAGTAAATTCGTTTCATTACCAACAACTAAATTATTGATCTTAGCTGGTAATGACAACTTGGATAAAGAGCTTATTGTTGGCCAAATGCAAGGTAAGTATCAATTGGTTGTATTTCAGGAATCCGGTCATTTCATTCAAGAGGATGCACCTTCAAAGACAGCTCTAACATTAATAGACTTTGGAAAAGAAATG